TGTGCATTATATACTCTATTCTTATAGTTGAGAAAGCTAGAGAGAAGAAAATGGCAAGAAAATCATAAGGAAGAGAAAATACATTTACAGTATTTTTAGTGATATATATTATTGATTATGCTATTACAGTTGTCCCATTCCCCCCCCCTTTATTCCCCTCTGCCCTGCACACCCCCTCCCACCCACACCCCACACCCCTGCCTCCCCTTTAGTTCATGTCCATGTGTCATACATGTAAGTTCTTTGGCTTCTACATTTCCTATACTATTCTTAACCTCCCCCTGTCTATTTTCTACCTACCATTTATGCCACTTATTCTGTGTACCTTTTTTCCCTCTCTCCCCCTCTTACTACCCTGCTGATAACCCTCCATGTGATCTCCATTTCTGTGGGTCTGTTTCTCTTCTAGTTGTTTGCTTAGTTTGTTTTTGTTTTAAGTGTGGTTGTTAATAACTGTGAGTTTGTTGTCATTTTACTGTTCATAGTTTTTATCTTTTTTTTCTTAGATAAATCCCTTTAACGTTTCATATAATAAGGACTTGGTGATGATGAACTCCTTTAACTTGACCTTATCTGAGAAGCACTTTATCTGCCCTTCCATTCTAAATGAAAGCTTTGCTGGATAGAGTAATCTTGGATGTAGGTCCTTGCCTTTCATGACTTGGAATACTTCTTTCCAGCCCCTTCTTGCCTGTAAGGTCTCTTTTGAGAAATCAGCTGACAGTCTGATGGGAATTCCTCTGCAGGTAATTGTCTCCTTTTCTCTTCCTGCTTTTAGGATTCTCTCCTTATCTTTAATCTTGGCTAATGTAATTATGATGTGCCTTGGTGTGTTCCTCCTTGGGTCCAACTTCTTTGGGACTCCCTGAGCTTCCTGGACTTCCTGGAAGTCTACTTCCTTTGCCAGATTTGGGAAGTTCTCCTTCATTATTTGTTCAAATAAGTTTTTGATTTCTTGCTCTTCCTCTTCTCCTTCTGGTACCCCTATGATTTGGATGTTGGAACGTTTAAAGGTGTCCTGGAGGTCCCTAAGCCTCTCCTTATTTTTTTGAATTCTTGTTTCTTCATTCTTTTCTGATTGGATGTTCCTTTCTTCCTTCTGGTCCACACCATTGATCTGAGTCCCAGTTTCCTTCCCATCACTATTGGTTCCCTATACATTTTCCTTCATTTCTCTTATCATAGCCTTTATTTTTTCATCTAATTTGCAACCAAATTCAACCAATTCTGTGAGCATCCTGATCACCAGTGCTTTGAATTATGCATCTGATAGGTTGGCTATCTCTTTGTCGCTTAGTTGTATTTTTTCTGGAGCTTTGATCTGTTCTTCCATTTGGCCCATTTTTTTTTTTTTGTCTTGGCACAACTGAGCCATGAAAGGTTAAGTGCCTACAGCAGGTTCTGCTGAAAGGACTGATGTGCCTGAACTGACTCGGAACGTGAAGGTAAAAATGCTGGAGTAACTGGTCCCAGTGTAAAAAGTCTACCTGCAGCCACACAACTGTAGTTCCTTAGAAGAAAGTATGTTCTTGGTGGAAGGGATGGATCACAGCTCTTTTCTTTCCAAGTTCTCCACCTGCCACATTCTTTCCCTCACATTTAAAGTATTTACTGAAAACAATTCAAATCTGTGTTGTTCAAGGGTCAAATGTATATATTTGTTTTTAAACATTTGAATGTTTCTTTTATTTTAAAGCTTTTATTTATTTATTTTTAAAGAGGGGGAAGGAGGGAGAAAGAGAGGGAGAGAAGCATCAATGTGTGGTTGCCTCTCGTGCACCCCACACCGGGGACCGGGCCCGCAACCCAGGCATGTGACTGAGACTGGGAATCGAACCAGTGACCCTTAGGTTTGCAGGCCAGCACTCGGTCCACTGAGCCACACCAGCCAGGGCTTAAAGTTTTAAATATCAAGACACTTTATTCCTAAATACTTCAGCATTTCTTAATATTAACAACTTTATTGTATAAACATAATACCTTTATCACACCAAAGAAAATTCATAGTTATTCCATACTACTATTAAATACTGAGTCATTTTTAATTGTCTTCATTATTCTAAGTCTTTTTCAGCTTTTAAAAAAATCAGGATCAAATCAAGGTTCACTCACTGCAGTAAAGGCTGTGTTTCTCTAATCCCTTTTATTTAGAGTCTTGTTTATTTTTCACAACACTGACTCTTTTAAGGAACCAAACCAGTTGGCTTAGAAAATATGTCACAGGCAGGATTTGTCTGTTTCCTTGTGATGTGTTTCATTTGTTTCTCCACCCCTTGTTCCTGTAAGTTAGGTCTAGAAGTTTAATTCAATTCCTTTTTAAAAAATATTATTTCGTTTTATATATATTATATATTTTAAGGATTTTATTTATTTGTTTTTAGAGAGAGGGGAAGGGAGGAAAAGAGAGAGGAAGAGAAACATCAAAGTGTGAGAGATACATTGATTGGTTGCCTCTCGCATGCCCCCAACCGGGGACCTGGCTGGCAATCCAGGCATGTGTGCTGACTGGGAATTGAACGGGCTAACTTTTGCTTTGCAGGGCAGCACTCAATCCACTGAGCCGCACCAGTCAGGGCTATATATTTTTTATTTTTAATTTAAAGATTTTATTTATTTATCTTAGAGAGAGGGGAAGGGAGGAAGAAAGAGAGGAAGAGAGACGTTGATTGGTTGTCTCTCACACATGTCCTGCCCGAACTGGTGTCGGCCCGCAACCCAGGCATATGCTCTGACCTGGAATCATACTGGCAATCTTCTGGTTTGCAGGGTAATGCCCAACCAGCTGAGCTACACTGGTCAGGCCTAAATATTATTTTCTATAGTAAAAGTCATAGAGCTCCGTTACATAAATTTGGATACTAGGAGAAAAAGGAAGAAAAATTCCCTATGATTCCCCCCAACCCAAATAACCAATGTTAGAATTTTGCCCTTCTTCCCTGCCTTGTTTTCCATAGCAGGCCTTCTACATTCCACAAACAGGTGGGGAGCCAGGGTCATCTACTGCACTTTTACCCAGTGCTCTAGTGTAATAGAGAGCCTCCAGGTGGTTTCTGTCTCCTGGTATTCACATTACTGTCAAGTCCCTTCTGACATTGTACCAGGGTTGGTCTGTATGACCAATACAACAGGAAGAAATGATGGCATGGCAAGTTTAATATTAGGTTATAAAAGAACTGCAGCTTCCTTCTTGGTGCTCGCTCTCTCTCTCTCTCTCTGAATTAATCTAGCTGCCATGTTGTGAGGACATTCTCTCTGTAGAAAGGTTCATATAGAAAGGACCTCATGACTTTGGTCAAGAGCCAGCAAGGAATGAGGGCCTGCCAACAACCATTAGAGCTTTGAAGTAGACTTCCCTTCAGTCAAGCCTTTAGGTGAGACCAATAGCCCCAGCCAACAGCTTGACTGAAGTGTCATGAAGTGCCTTGAGCCTGAACCAGCCAGCTAAGCCACTCCTGAGTCCTGATGCGCAGGAATTGAGATGTTTGTTCTTGTAAGCTGCTAAATTTGGGGAATAATTTGTTATATAGCAATTACTTCTGTTATTGCTGCTATTTAGTTCCCATGTTTACACTTTGTGGTGGTTATAGAGTATTCCATAGAGGGGATGAGCAGACCACACATTACTTGCTGTTAGCAGAGAATCTACTCTCCCCTTCTCACTCTGCTGCAGGTACCATGTTCCCTGAATAAGCTATCACCTCAGGACCCTTTCCTTTGTTGTTCCCTCTGCCTGGAGTGTTCCTTGCTTAGATATCCCTGTGGTTTTGTCCCTCATCTCCTTCAGAGGTCTCTATTCAAATGTCAGTACTTTCTAGCCTATCTAAAGGAGGACTCCCATCACTCTTGATTGCTTTCTCCTACTGTGTTTTTCTTAATGGAAGTGAGCATTGCCTGGCATTATACACTTGTTCAGTAGCTGTGAGCCCCTCAAGAGCAGTGCCCTGCTTGTCTTGTTCCCTGCTGTGGCTCTACTGGCTGACACATAGTAGATGCTCAGTAAATGTTTGGAGAATGACCGTTGTCGCATACTACCACATGGAGAAATTACAGCCATGAGAATTCTTACCTAAAGTATGTGTGTGTGAGTGTGTATATGTGTATACTTTTTTTTTTTTTGCTGGAGCATTTCGAAAGCACATCTCAGATGTTGTTTGACCCGTAAGTATCTCAGAATACATCTCTGAAAAAAATATTTAAACACAACTGCCATGACTTTATCACCCTTAGCAAAATTAACAATACCTCCTTTCTATCATCTTATGTTCAGACACATTCAAATGCCCATCGTGGTCTCAAAACCGTCCTTTTCCTGTGCCTGACCCTCTTATTTGGTGTTGCAAACTGCCCCCACTCTGCTCGCTTCCATTCCTGTTTCCACCTTTCCTCCATAGCACTTAACACCATCTACCTTACCATACGTTTTATCATATTGTCTCTCCCTCCTCAACCCCATCGAAAAAATCATGAGCTCTGCGAGATCAGAGAATTCATGCTGACTCAAGAAATATTAAAGGAGTAAAATATAAGGCCTGCCATTTATTGATCTTTTCAATTGCATTATCGTGATTACAGTCTTGCTAGGAAGCGGGTGCTATCTTAACCCCATTTCATATGTATAGGACACTGAAGCTCAGGAAGGTTAAGGGGGATGGCGGGGTACCGGAGATGATCACGGGGCTGGGTTGTAGGGGCCTCGATTGCCCCCACAATTGAATTGGGACTTTATCACATAAGCTCCGAGGAGCCAGGAAAGGTTCGTGAGCAAGGACAGCACTTCTTCCGTGGAGCCAAGTTCCCTCTCCAGTTACCGCTTGGGGAACAGGAAGGTGCCTAAGCACAGCTTGCAGCTAGAAGCGCCTTCGTCGCCCCTAGCAACAGAGTCCCGGAAGAACTACAGAGAGGAGGCTCAAACGTATAGAGCGGTCGCCGCAGACTAGCCAAGCGCGGAAAGCTAGAAAGGCGCGCCCGGCCGATTGTCACGTGGGCGAGCGCGGGAGGCGGGACTTCCGGCAGCCCCTTATTTTTTTTCCGGTTGCTGGCTCTTACAGACCCCTCCCGGACTGGGCCTTTGGCCCCTATTTCCCCGCGGCCCTCTGCCGCTGGGCCTTCCGCCACCATGAAGAAATTCTTCCAGGAGATCAAGGCTGATATCAAGTTTAAGAGTGCAGGTCCCGGACAGAAGCTTACGGAGTCGGTGAGGTTCGTGATTAGCGCTGGGGCGTGAAGCCTGGGGGCGGAGACGGTCAGGGGAGGCCAAGAGGGCTAGAGGTGAGGAGGGGAGAGATCTTGGGGGCAGGGGCCACGAGGAGCGCAGTGGGTGTAAAAGCAAGTGGAGGCCCCTGGGGGCGGAACGGGAGGGGCAAGGCCTGAGGGGGCGGGGCTGCCGGGAGATAGTGATCAATGGAGAGACTTGGGAGGGGAGTAGGGGGTGGTAAGGGGGAAGCTAGGGGGCGAAGAAGGGTCCCAGAAGAAGCATATAGATTTTGGGGAAATCTAGGTGATGGGAATTGGTGGGTGAGCCTGGAGAAGCAAAGAGTTATCGTCCATGGCGTGAGGGGTCTGGGCCCTGGGTCTGGAGTTCGAGGGAGGACTGAATGGGAGCCTGGAAGGCCAGGGAATCTAAGGCATTGTTGGAAGAGTCGACAGGGTGAATTGGAGGGGGCTGCGAGGGGCGGAGGAAGGTCTGGTAGGAGAATGGAAGTGGGTGGGTGGAGGTGGAAAGAGAACGGGGTGGGGTATGTCTGTGATGGGAAGGAGGCGGGGTCCTTGTGGGTGATGGTTAAATTGAATGGGAGGCCCTTGGGAGACTTGGGAGTGTGGGGGATGTGGTCTGCACGCCTTTAGGCCTCTGTGAGTTTTCTGGGGAGGACTTGAAGAAAGGAAGGGCCTGGGGCGAGAGTGCAAACTCAGTGGAAAGATGTGAGGAGGGCAGGTGACATGAAGGAGTCAGTAAAGTGGAGGAACAAGTGAGTATGCTGGACTGTCAGGTCTGGGCGGCTGAGAAGGAAGCTCCACTTGGAGGAGGGCCTGGGAGATGGTAGGGCTGCTGCAGGGAGCTACGGGGTGTGTGTGTGTGTGTGTGTGTGTGTGTGTGTGTGTGTGTCTGTGTACTTGGGGGTGGCCCTAGAATCAGTCAGGAGTGACTGAGGAAAGACCCCAGCCTGGGCAGGGTTCTGTGAGGAATAAGGAAAGGGACTGTGAAGAGGTAGGGCTGGGAGGGGTAGGAGGAGAGCAGGAAGTAGGGCAGGAAGGGAAGACGAGGGAGTCAGGGTTGTGTGAGGGAGAGTGGGTACAGGGCAGGGACTTCAGGACATCTGTCACAAAGATTGGGGGCTCCCAAGATCCTTGGGAGGGAGTGCTGAGTGGGAAGAATGAGACTCATGAAGGCCAGGTTCATGAGTGAGGGAGGGAAGCACAGTGGACAAAATTAGGTCCTAGGAACCTGAGGAGGGAGAGGAGGGCAGCTTAAGGGGGGCCATGGAGAGTGGTGGACCAGACAAGGGGGTTCATTCATTTGCTTGACAAGTTGTGGGTAGAGGTGGGGGCTGGGGCAACTGGGACTGTGACGGGAAGAAGGTGGGGGCTGTGTGGGTGATTGCCGTGCCAGACTGGAGGCCTGGGAGGAGAGGGGACGGAAGTAATTTGGAGATGTAGGCTGTTGTGACGTGCCTGGAGTGAGCTGGGAAGCTCAAGGTGTAACACTGGAAAAGGCGGCATTCCTGCTGCCTTGACTGCCAGGACCAATCAGTAGAGCCAAGGATTGGATCTTTATGGGTGCTTTATTCAGATGTCGGTGATCTGAGAAGATTGCAGGTTATGTACCCTAGAAATCATCCTAACGTCTCATCTCAAGCCAACCTTTTTATAAGCAGAAGGAAAGGATAGGTAGTGGGTTTGGAAAAAGGTTAATCAGATAACGGTTGCAGACAGTGATTTTCCTAGTATTTCTGTAACTACTGATCAATAATCCTTTATCTGCATCACTGACGTCAGATACCATCTCAGTAGCTTGCACATCTCCTGGGGACAAAATTTGAATTGCTTGTCCACCTCCTGGAGTCATGCAGGCCACGTGTTCCGCTCCCATGTGTTCCAGCTCCCAGAACAACAGCTTTCCACATGCATTAATTGCTTAAGCCTATCAACTATGCCTAAAGCTAAAATCTTTAACTCTTGAATTCCCCTGTCAGGCGTGTGGAGGGGTGTCGAGCAGGAGTCTCTCATGGTTTGCCTTCCAGTGGGTGGAGACGGAAAAAAGAAACCAGTACACGTATGATGGAAGATTAGGTTGTGCCCGGGGCTGTGAAAAAAATAAGCAGGGGCAGGGGATAGTGAGTATTGGGGGTGGGGGACCTTTAGATGGTCCAGGAATTTGGCTCTTGAGAAGGTGACATGTGACATGCAAGCTGGTTGAGGTGAGATTCAGCCATGTGGAAATAACCTACCCCCTCCCTTCCCCCCGCCCCCCCACACACATACAGCACACCGGGAAAAGCCAGTGTTCATGCTGCCTGTCACCTACCAGAACTAGTAAACAGAGATGGGGATTGAATCTTTATGGGCACTTTATTCAGATGGCCGGTGATCTGAGAAGATGGCGGGTTTATACCCTAACAAACTTTCTTAAATTCCATTTTAAACTGATTCTTTTCACAAGGAGGAGTGTAGGTAAGGGGTTTGGAACTCAGGGGAAACATTAATCAGGTGAAAGCTGCAGCATTCTTCCATCTGTGCCCTGGGCAGTGGGCGTCTCACCCTGGAGCACAGGGGCTCAGAGCCATCCCGACTGCCTGCAGTCCTCTTTGGACACGAAGGTGGGACTGCCTGTGGTCTCCTGGAGTCAGGGTGAGCCCTTCAGTTCCTGAAACAATAGCCTTTTACATGCACCGATTACTAAGCTTATTAGTTATTATCTGAAACTAAAAATTTTCCAACATTTGAGTCCCCCATCAGCTCTACCCTCTCCCAAACCTCCTTCCCTCATCCCACCCGCTGGCGGCACTCTCAGGCAGCAGGCGCGGGAGGTGCAAAGGCTCTGTGGCAGGGACCGGCTGGCCTGCAGTGACCAGCAGTAGTGAGACCGGGGTAGACAGAAGAGTGAACCAGGCAGACGGGGATGTTGTTCGTGGCCTGCGGGGACACGGGCGGCTTTAGGGTTCTGTTGTGTAGGTGTTGGGAGGACTTGATGTAGAGGTATGATAAGTGCTAACTTAGGTTTTAGGGGGACCACTATGGCTGCCCAGCAGAGCACGAAGTGGGTGAGTGAGGTATCTTGGAAAGTGGCCCAGGGATATTTATTTCATTGCTTTAGAGAAGAAGGGAGGGGGAGAGAGAAAGAAAGAGAAGCAGTGATCTGCTCCCTTCTTGCATGTGTCCCAAGCAGGGATTGAACTTGCAATGTGGGTGTGTACCTTGACCAGGGAATTGAACCTGTGACCCTTTGGCTATGGGATGATGTGTTCCAACCAACTGAGCCACACTGACCAGGACTAATGGCATTTTTATAGAGAGACCTCAATACCACATGGGGCTAGGGTGGGTTTTATGTGACCCATTTTTTCTAACATGAGGTTCTCAGCTGTGGGGCAGGGATGCGAGGGAAGCAGGTCCCAGGGGCCTTGGGACAAGAAGAGGGGGCTGCCCGCACATCTGAGCAAAGTAGGAGGAGTGAGGCCGTGAACCAAGAGCCTTGGCTTCTGGTAAGGTTTACAGGCTCAGCACATAGGATTCTAACTGCTGGGGCCGGGAGAGGGTCCTCAAGGAAGAATGTAGGTGAGGTAGGTGAGTCAAACCAGGTGGGACTTTCTCCGCTGGGATATTCAAAACTAGATCCTTTTCTTCCTTCCTTTCTTCCTTTCTTTTTTTCTTCCTTCTTTTTAAAAGATTTTATTTATTTATTTTTAGAGACAGGGGAAGGGAGAGAGAAAGAGGGAAACATCAATGTGTGGTTGCTTTTCGTGCACCCCCCACTGGGGACCTGGCCTGCAACCCAGGCATGTGCTCTGACTGGGAATTGAACTGGCGACCCTTTGGTTTGCAGGCCAGCACGTAATCCACTGAGCCACACCAGCCAGAGCCAGAACCAGATCATTGTCCTACTAAGTAGATTAAGAAGCCATTCGTCCCCTGAGGTTATTACTACACTTATTTCCCAAAGTGGAGGTGATACGAAACTTGATCTTTGTAACATACTTAACACAGAGCTTGAATGTTGTCTGAGCTTCTGCAAAAGGAGATCTTAAGACCGCCCTCAGAGGGGTGTGGTTTGAGGAAACAATACTGTGTTGCCTGGCGCGTCGTAGATGCTCAACTAATGCCACTGAGACTACTCATTGCTACAGACAGGAAGGGTCTCGATTCTTACTCAGGAGGGAGCTGGGGGAGGGTTGACTCCTTTGAGTCTTGTCAGTTCCTGAAGACATTAGGATGCTTAACCGGATGGCCCCCATATGGAGGTGAGTGCCAATAACCCCAATTAACAGGTGATGCCTCTGAGGCCCAGGCCAGTGAAGGACTTGCCCAACGGGGCAGAGCTGGGAGTGAAATCACTGTCTGCCTCCAGGGGCTGTTAAGGCAGATGTCTGTCTGATGGGGCAGGAGTAGAAGTGGGAGAGGGGTAGAGGCTCTTCCGTCTGACCCTATGTCACTTCACTTTCCCTCTGTTTCCCCTCCAGGGAGAAGGGCCCCAAAGAAAAGCCCAACCAGCCAGTGCTCCGGCAGCCCCGCCAGGGACCTACAGATGAGGCGCAGATGGCAGCCGCAGCGGCCCTGGCCCGGCTGGAGCAGAAGCAGCCCAGGGCCCGGGGCCCCACATCGTCACAGGACTCCACCCGGAACCAGGGTGAGTTGTGCTGTCCTTGGGCTGCAGGGAGGCAGGCGAGGTGAAGTGGAGTGAGGCCTCTGTCCCCTCTTGTCCTCGAGGCCTGTCTGTGGCTGTTCACAGGTCCTAGATCCTGTGCTCGGTCCTGGACGAAAATAATTATATAACCAATGACATGGGGGGCTTTAAAGTCACCGTTGTGAGAGGAGGGAAATTCGGGGGGAGAGGAACAAGGGTCTGGCGTGGTCTGAGTGCCGTGGACGTGAGGGAGGGTGCAGAGGGGAACGAGGGAGGAGGGGAGGTTGCAGGTCGTTGTCAGGTTATCAGGTGAAGTGTGGGGGCATGAGGCAGTGTTGCAGGAAGACGGGCTAGGACCTCAAACTGGAAGGACGACTAGAACTTGACCCACTCGAGGGCCAGCCCTGGAGGGGCCACACACTGACCCATTTCTGCTTCTCCCTCCAGTGAGAAAGGAACTTCAAGTCGAGGCGACTGTCAGTGGGAACTCGAAGGCCCCAGGGACTAACATGGTAAAAGCATCCTTCTGGCAGCATGACACCCTGAGGGGTGGCCTGGGGCGGGGAGCGGGGCCACCCCTAGGTTCTTGCCTGTAAGCTCTTGGTTCTGGGCGTGGTGGGGACACAGAAGAGACAGCAGGGTGGGGGAGGTCACCGCTGGCTTGGGGAACCCTGCCTTGAAAGGTCGGGGCGGGTTGTGGTTGTGTTGATGTTGACTGGGGCCTCCACGCTCAGCACCTTAGGGTGCCAGGCTTGGGTGCTGAGGGTAGGACTGGACCCCATTAGTTTGTGGGTTACAGCCCCAACTCTAACCCCATGAGGGTGGGTGCTGTTGTAGTTCCCACTTTCCAGAAGAGAAAACAGGTTCAGGGAGGTGAAGGCAGTGTTCTTAGTCGTGCACCTCAGAACCAGCAGGGCTGAAGGCGAACCCCAGCCTGTGCGACCCCAGAGCCTGCACCCCTGGCACAGCCCTCTGCAGCCTTCTCAGGAGGCAGGAGGGCTCCATGGAGCGTGGTGTAATTTGGCCGTTTAGAAGCAGGTGGGTCTCAAAGGAGAGCTCTGCAGAAAGGGTGTTCCTAGCAGTTCAGCCCTCAAGTTCTCACTGAGTCTTAGCAAGGAACAGACCCTAGATAGACATTGCCTAGGAACTGAGGCCCAGAGGTGGGCTGGGACGGGTCCAGGGCACTGTGACTCAACTCCCCACCACGAAGCCCCTTTTCCGCCAGGCAGCAGGGACAGGAACAGCAGAAGCCGCTGATTGAGCGCTGTGTTCGCAGCTGCTGCACACTTCTCCTTTCCTCCTCACCTTGTTGAGTCCTGAGCTGGTCCTGCAGACATTTCACAGACTAGAGAACATCCTCAGAGGTGCTCGGTCACCGGGCCAAGGTGTTCCATGGTGGAGGGGACAGCGTTGAGACCAGGGGTGTCTGGCTCCCAGGGCCATGCTTTCAGGCCTGTGGCACTCAGTGACTTGGGGTGGCATCTGTGCACAGTCCAGGATGAGACACTTTCATCCCCCTCCCCCCCCCCCAGGTGCCTGAGCCCAGAGAGGAAGGCTCAACCCCCCTGGCAGTGCCTGGAGTGTACTTCACCTGCCCCCTCACAGGGGCCACCCTGAGGAAGGACCAGCGGGACAGCCGGATCAAAGAAGCCATTCTCTCAGTGAGTGGAGGCCTCATGCCCCGTCCCTCATTCAGAGGTTCCAGGGTTGGAGCTGCCTTCAGGAAGCCCCAGTGAGGCCGGGTGGCACAGGTCCTTCTTAGTGTCCCCACCTGTGTACATCGTATCTGTTGTCACCTGGTCAAAGAGGAAATGCTTACGTGCGGTACAAAATTCCACATACAGAACGGGAGGCAGAGAGAAGCCACCTTTCACTCACCTCTTGGCCACCTTCCCAGGTGACAGCCTCTGTGGGTAGTTTAGATCCCTGTTCAGGGACATTTCGAGTGTGTACAAACTGCCGACATATTTGTGTCTCCCCTTCACTTGTTTTGATTTTTCATAAAAGGTAACGTACCACTCACGCTAAACGTAGGAACTGCCAGCTATTACAGCAGTATGAAACAAACTTCAGCATTTTTTTTCCTTAAAACTGAATTTGGAAATAATTTCAAACTTAAAAAAAATTTCAGGAACAAAAAGAACACCTAAATACCTTTGCCCTGGGCCTGAGTTTCCCATCGCCATCGTAACAGGCTATTGCAACCTGAGGGGCTTGGAATACACACGTCTGGTCTCCTAGAATCCTGCAAGTCAGAGTGTGACGTGCCTCTCTCCAGTGGCAGGAAGGCTGTGTTCCTTCTGGAAGCTGTGTGAACAGTCCATTTCCTGGCCTTTTCCAGCTTCCGGGCCACCTGTGTTCTGTGACCCCTACCTCCATCCTCACAGCGTGTGACGCCAGGCCGCGTCTTGGTCCAGCCTCCATGTCCTGGTTCTCTGCCCTGACGGGCTCTTATGGTTACTCTGGGCCCACCTGGCTTGTCTAGACTAATGCCCCGTTTTAAGGTCTGCTGGTCACAGCCATAATTTTACTGTGAGATCTGGGCTGCTCATGGCCCCTCTTCCCCAGGAGGAGGGGCACTGCTGAGGCTTTTCTCCTCCTTTTCTGCTGAGTGTGTGCAGTCGAAGCCCCGAGCCTGTTACTCTGCCATTATTACTGCTGCCTCCTGAGTAACCAGGCCCCGGGCTGTGAGGGGAGCACTCTCTGACGTGCTCTCCTCACTGCGCCCAGCACTTCTCCGTGGACCCGGTGGCTGCCTCCATCATGAAGATCCACACGTTCAACAAAGACCGGGACAAGGTGAAGCTGGGCGTGGACACCATCGCCAAGTGAGTGGGCGCCCTGTCCCCCACTGAGGGTGCGAGTCTTAGGCCTCTAGCAGGACCTGCTGAGGGGACCTTCCCTCCCCCTGACCCAGGAAGAGAAGGGGCTTGGCCTCTTTGGGTCTCAGTTTACCTGTCTATAAAAGGAAGGGGGTTACTGAATTGGGGATTCCCAACCCTGGCTTCCCTTTGGTGGCCATAGAGGAGTGTGAGGGAGGTGGGTTCCCACCCCACTCCCCTGACCACTAAGCAGGTCCAGGGGTGCTAGAAGTCTGTTTTGCGCATGAGCTCCCAAGCAAACACTGGTGATCATTGGCACTGGAGGCCCGTTCTGGCTCTGTCCACTTGCCCCCACACTGTGGTCCATTGGTGCCCTCCAGGGGAGGCAGGACCCAGGAGCAGTTGCAGCAGTGGGCTCCAGGTGGCCCAGGCTGTTGGCAACGGGTCCGAGGTGTGATGGCACCTGCTCCCCCTCTTAACCACGAGCCTAGGTGTAGCTCTGAGCTGCTGTTCACCTGGGGATGGAAGGTGCAGAGCAGCCAGTCACCCAACCCAGGCCTGTCCTTGTTCCCAAATTCTGCCTCAGGTACCTGGACAATATCCACCTGCACCCTGAGGAGGAGAAGTACCGGAAGATCAAACTGCAGAACAAGGTGTTCCAGGTGAGGGCTCTGTTGAGTGACTTCCAGCCGGTGCAGCCAGCATGGCTGGGCCAGCGATCACACTGGGCCTCGTCTGGTGGTGGGGCCCTGGGAGGGCTTCTCCAGGGTTGCAGGTGGAGAGGGGCTTTATGAACACTGCTGGCATGTTTTGACCTTAATTTGAACTAGTTGGGATCATGTCAGCTGGGGGGATTTCTTACATAGACTTCTGACTTCTGTGGAGAAATCAAGTGGTCCCGCCACCCTGGTCCATGTTACTTGTGCTGTTGGCAGGGCACCCACTCTCCCCTACAGCATCATACGCAGCCCTCCCCCCATTTTGAAGACCCCCGTGCTGTTCTTTGGCTCTTGAGCTCCTCTTCACCCTGGTTATTGGCCTCTGGGGTCCCTCTGTGAGCAGCTACTGGAAACCTTGGAGCCTTTCTTTAGGCAGCTTCAGAGGCAGGGAAGGGGGGCTTGTCCTCCCCAGGGGCCAGCCCCTCAAAAAGAGGGGGTGCTGGGCCTGATGGGACCCACTGGGCAGTGAGGTTGGTGGGGCTCGAGGAGGCCCAAGGGCCCTGCATGACTTAAGCTCTATTCCCAGGAGCGCATTAACTGCCTGGAAGGGACCCACGAGTTTTTTGAGGCCATTGGCTTCCAGAAGGCATTGTTGCCAGTTCCAGATCAGGGTAAGCTGGGGAGAGAAAAGCCTTGGCTGAGTTGGGAGGTGGGAAGGGGAGGGGCCTGGCTCGGGGGTTTTCTTGCTGTGGCACAGGGACATCTTGTGTCCCCCAGAGGGCCCTGAAGAGTTCTACGTGCTGAGTGAGGCCGCCCTGGCCCAGCCCCAGAGCCTGGAGACGCACAAGGAGCAGCTGCTGTGTGCGGAGCCTGTGCGGGCCACGTTGGCCCGCCAGCGACGTGTCTTCCGGCCCTCACCCCTGGCCTCTCAGTTTGACCTGCCTTCTGATTTTTTCAATCTCACGGCTGAGGAGGTCAAGCGGGAACAGAGGCTCAAGTCTGAGGCGGTGGAGCGGCTGAGCATGCTGCGGACCAAGGCCATGAGGGAGAAGGAGGAGCAGAGGGAGATGCGCAAGTACACTTACACACTGCTGCGAGTTCGCCTCCCTGACGGCTGCCTCCTCCAGGGTGTGTGCTGCCTGCTAGCCAGGGTCGTGCAGGGAAGGGGCTGGGCAAGGCCCGGGAGGTGGTTGGTGTCTGTGCTGATTGGCTGGGCTGTGGGTTTGCTCTGCCTCCAGCAGGGTCTGTGATCTGAGCTTCTCTGAGCTCCTCTGGGCTCACCTCCACTTGTCTGGGCTGGGTGGGCCCTGGGGAGGGTTCCCATGATGTCCAGCCTCACTCCGACTGTTCCACCCCCCTCCAGGGACCTTCTACGCCCGGGAGCGGGTGGCAGCACTCTATAGCTTTGTTCGGGAGGCCTTGCAGAGCGACTGGTTGCCCTTTGAGCTGCTGGCCTTGGGTGGGCAGAAGTTGTCAGAGGATGAGAACTTGCCCTTCAATGAGTGCGGGCTGGTGAGTGACAAGTTGCCGCATGCTGGATCTGGATTCTGGCTGAATCTGCCACACATGCCCTGAAAGGGCAGTGCTTCTTAGTATAGGGTGGTCCTAGGAGAAGGGGTCCCAGGGCCAGGCTCCCTGGGTTTTAGTTCTACCTGTTTATTCACAACGTGACCTGCATAACTTCTCGGTGCCTCAGTTTCCCACCCTTAAAATGGAAAAATTGTCAAGTATGTTATTTTCTGAGGAGCAGAGCCCAGAGGAGATTGGAAAGGAGAGGATTTACTGGGGAGGAAGTTGGAGGAGGGCAGCCATACCCTGATGCAGGGAGACCAGGGAGGAAGGAGGCCTGGCTCGGAGGTCCTGAGTGCTGCCCAGCAGTGGTCAGCCTCAGCAGGCCAGGAGGTGTCCCTGAACCCAGGTCCTTGGTAGGAGGGGCCACTGCTTCGGGAATGGGCTTACTGAGTGACTGCTGTCACTGTTGTCACCAGTGGGAACAGTCTTGGGAGGGCGTGGCCCTGGCTCCAACACAAAGATTTGAATGTGAAGATGTGAACTTTGTCACGTAAATGCCAGAACAAGGCTGAGGCTTCTTGCCCCACCACAGGTGCCCTCGGCCCTCCTGACCTTCTCGTGGGACTCGGCAGTGCTAGAGGACATCAAGGCTGCGGGGGCTGAGCCAGACTCATCTATCCTGAAACCCGAGCTCCTGATGGTCATCGAGAAGCTCCCGTGAAATAAAAGCAGGGTTGGCTTCAGCCCCCATGGGTCTGTGTCATGCTCTCCTGCTTCCTCCACCACTGCTCATGTCCCTGCTCCCCCTCCACTCAGGGCCTCCCAGCCTCTTCTGGGACTGTCTGCCCAGCCCACAGGCAGGGGAGGCCACTGGTTGGCCTGTGATTGCCACTCAGAGGGCTTTCAGGAGACAGCTGCTGTGCTGTCCTTGGTAGTGCTGGCTCTAAGCCTTATCCAGCTGCTAATAACATGATTAATGGAACCCTAGGCATGACAGATGTGAACGCCTCCCTGGGCATGAGAGTGGGCCTGCAGCACGGGCCCAGGCCCCACGGCTGGCCCTGAGGCTGCCCTGTGGGACTGTTGGTGACAGTGGCATAGGGTGGAGATGCTGGGCCTGTCAAGCCAGAATTCTGTAACTCTAAATTCTGAACTGAAATAAATAGGCTCTTTGACTAGACTCCTGGTGGTGAGTTCTGGCTGTGTGTCGCAGGGCAGGTCAGTAGCTGTCACCCAGTGGACAAGCCCACCTTCCCGAGGGAAGGCGCCCCAGGGGCCCTGGGCCCTGGGCCCTGCAGAACTAGTTTCCATAGATGTTCACATCCTCACCCCTGGAACTGAGAACGTCCACAGAAGAGGAAAGTGACGAGGAAATTCGTGTGTGACTGAAGACCTTCAGATGGGAGATGGTCCTGGGTTTTCCAGACGGGCCCAGCATCATCCCAGGTGTTCTTATACGTGGGAGGAGGAGGCAGAAGAAATGGAAGAGACTGTGCTGCGGGTTTCAAATTTGGAGGAAGGATCCAGGAGCCAAGGAATGCCGTGGCTGCTAGAAGCCTGAAAAGGCAGGAAATGGATTCTCCCCGGAGCTTCCAGAAGGACCCAGCCCTGCCCATACCTGTATTTTAAAGTAGTGAGACCCATGTTAGTCAGATATGATACCCAGAACGGTAAGAACAGGTGTGTGTTTTAAGCCATCGTTTTTAGTGATATAGTGATATATTACAGCCACAGGGACTAAGGGAAAGCAAGACCTGGAGCATCAAAGGTACTCATCCCTGGTCACACCCAGGCTGGGAGATGCCCCCTCAACCACTGACCCGGATCATCCCCTCCCTCTCACCCCCAGCAGGTTGCTAGCTGTGGTTTGTAGACACTCCTGCAGAGGCCTGGTGGCTGGTCCTGACCACTGCCAGCTGGGTAACGGAAAGACTTGAAGCTTCAAGACCTCAAATACAATTAAATTTTTTTAATCTGTTTTTAGAGAGGGGGAAAGGGAAGAAGGGAAGGAAATGTCATTCCTTTGCCTCGTGCACATGTCCCCCTTCTGGGGACCAAACCTGCAAACCAAAGCATGTGCCCTGACCAGGAACCAAACTGGTGACCTTTTGATTTGTAGAACGACACCCAACCAACTGAACCATACTGGTTAGAGCCAAATGCAATTGATTTTTAAAGCAAAAATCCCTTGTAACCCTGCCATGCAACTTGCCCCCATGCAAGCCCCATTTCACACTTGGGCCACCAGCATCTGTTGGACCCAGGCCTGTCTCCTTTGCTGCCATATCTTGGGAACCCAGCACAGCCTTGACCTGTCACTTAGGTCCTACATCTCCTCCCTGTCCCCAACTGCAAGTTGTCAAGACACCCAACTAAAACAGGCCTAAGGGGTCTTGACAGGTAGCTGTATCTACAGGAATAACACATGGGCTGCTGTCCTGTACACACACCTGTATTCACTGGCACCCTGCCTCCAGTAGGAGGTCCTGGCTGGGGCTCGCTCTGCAACTGGGTGTTCCTCAGGCCCACCCATACAGGGCCTCTGAGGGAGGATCAGGGTACGGTGGTAATGGAACACATGGAGTCTTGGCCGGCCACACAGCAACTGGTCGGGTTGCCCCATCTGGCTGTATCCAGCTGACGTAAACTGTTTTGCATGCTGATATGCCTTCTCCCTTGGGGACAGCAGGAACAAAACAACGTGTGGTGTTAGCAGGACAGGAGTTCAGGTTGGATGAAGTCTGTGAACTCTGCCAAGATCTCAGCTCCCTGAGGCCTTCCACAGACACCTCAGTGGGGCTATCACTGCCCCAGTGTGGCGCTGTTCTCGGGTCTCAGGGACCAGGGCTCTGGCATCTTCAGCTGGTTCCACCCAGTTCCAACATTCTGCTGTGTTGTGCCTGACCCAGAAGTCCATCTGGAAGCCAACACTCAGAGGCCCAGAGTAGGTCCTATTCCCCTCCCAAGGGGCAGGAGGGATGGATGGGTAGGAGTACCTACCTGCTGAGAAGCCCCACCCTGAACTAGGTCACTGGGGAGGTGGGAGATTTCACAACAGAGATGGGACAGTGCTTTTGCGGAGTGGAAAGCTTAAGACATGCCACAGCACCGTACGTGGGGTGTAAGGAGTGAACACCTGGTAGCACAGCACAGGGCATGAACTCAAGCCACGGGTGAAGGCACACACCCACTCACAGAAACAATGGGTTGAAAAGATGACAGACACCAAGTCAGGACTAGACAGTAAGTTTATACATGTTCATGTCAGGTCCCAGTGCTAAGCTGCACCAGCAGGGCTCCAATTCATTTATAAGCATTTCATCATAGTGCCTGCTCAGGGTCCTCAGGGCAAGATTAGGCTTCCCTGTACAGGCCAACATATTGCGATAATGCTTTATTAAAGGGCAGAATAATACGCAACTTTGGGGGAAAAGTTTTTACAAATATCAAAAAGAATGAACCAAGCATCCTATATACTTTCCATCCCTTAGTGGGGGATGGGTATGCAAAGCAGGACAAAGTGCTCTTTACACAGGAATCGTAGGACTTTCAAGTATCTGAGAAGCATCTGAGAAAACCCTAACCATTCTACATACACACAGGGGCCAACTGGGGTGCTCAGGAGGGGCCAAGTGAGCTGGAGGGCGCGGGGCTGTCACTGGTGTCCACTCCCTCAGGCCTTCCAGCTCCAGGAATGGTTCCACATGGGTCCTGGACCTCTTCTGCAAGGCAAGACAGGCAGGGGCTTCAGCCGGCTGTACCTGTGTCCCTAGAGCCTGAAACAGCTCTGAGGGCCTTCTTGGGGTAAGATGCGCCCACCTACCCCATCCAACTGTGGTCAGAGAAGGAGCATGGCTGTAGCCCCAGGCCCCTTCCCACCTTCTAGACAGATGTAGTCCCTCACCCCCTCCAGCCAGATCCTGTCACTCTTCAGCTCAGAGAGGAAGAGCCAAATCTTGGCCTGAAGTTCCATGCCCAAGGTGAGGAAACCAGGGCACCCAGGCCGAATGGCTCTGTCAAGGATCACCGGACATCAAGCTCCCTGAGCCGGCATCACTGCTGCCCTCCTTTTCCCTGCAGAAGCTCAGTTTAGAGGTAACTCGCTGGTGCCAAGCCTCCACCTTGCCAGCTCTCTCTCTGACACCTCCCATCCACCCTTCACCTTGGTGGCAATCAACCTTCAATTCTTTGGTTTCTTAAAAGTAACTTAGGGAACAAAGTCAGACCCTCCAGATCTTGACTGGACTCAACTGCCTAGCCCCACCATTAGACCAGCCCACCCAGTGCCTTTCTGTACATTATGTGCAAGTGAGCCAGGTAAAAAGTCGCGGGGGTGGGGGTGGGGGTGGGGGGCGGGTGTCTTCCCCACAGCTGCCAGCCTATGGGAGGAGGGTCTGGGGCCGTTCTCACCAGCAACATCTGAGATGTCCATCATTACACAGTCGCCATCCTCTTCCTCCTCTTCCTCTGTGTCTGCCTGGAAGCCATCCAGGTCCCCAGCTCCTATCTGAATAGACAGGGGGGCATGGGCTGTCAGTACAGGCACTTCGGGGCAGACCAGTATGTGACCCCTCCTGCTACAGGTGCCCACTTGCCTGACCCCTCTACCTGTTTCAGCAACACACTGAAGGAATCCATTTGATAGCCAGTGACCAAAGGAAACTGTGGGAAGGTCCCTCCAATGAAGCTCTGAAAACTACCACCATCGTATTTACCTTAATAAAATATAATTTGTGAACTGCTTTGAATTAAAAGTCTGGGTTTCTGGTTTAGTTTGAAAGGAAAATTGATAAGGCACAGGCTTTCTCTACATTTATTATTTGAAATCAATGGCTGAGAGCTCAGTTGGTCAGTGCTTTCTCTGTCCCTTCTGTCTGAGACCTGACAACTCTCAATTTGTGCTTGAACCAGTTTGGCCTGTGCGGTACACCATCCGATTAACCAGACGGAAGTCAGGACAGTGGGAGAGCGGGGCTAGAACTTCCAACAAGGTTCCTGGGCTGTTTTCACTGGCGTTCAGCAGAGGAGACAGAAGGGCAAGATGGAAGGTAGCAGGACCGATTTTAAACATCAACCACCTACACACATTTACTCCTCCTGTAAACAAACAAAGGGAACCAGCAGAGGAGGTAGGATCAGATTTCAACAGAGGGGCTACTTCTCAAAACACTTCAAAATTCCTCTGCTACAAAAGCCTCTGTTTGCCTGGAAAAGGGATGACAGAGCAGCAAGATTTGCACATGCGGTTCCCGGCCTGGATGGCAGACCGGGCTCGAGTTTGCAGCAGCATCAGTTCCTGGTGTGTATGCTCCACAGCCAGACTCCCTGGCGGCTGGAGGACCGCTGAGACAGGAACAGCCCCCAGAGCAAAAGCAGGAGCTGCCACAGTAAGATGCTGGGGGCAATGTCTAACAACCTGTTCTAAAGAACTGGCTGACTGAGAATAGCAGACAGTTCGGCTCTCAACTATGCATTGTTGGGAGTGTTTGTTTGGATCTGTTAAACAAAAGGAACAGACATTTCATAGCCTTTCCTGGTCATGGGACCCTCCAAACAAGAAACATAAGTTTAGGGGACGCACCATCATAACCCCGCACACACAGGACAGGTTACTATTCTACAGTGGGATTTTGGGTGACACTGAGTGCGCTGTGCTGAGTGGCCAGCAGCTTAGTGTGAGGGGAAAGCTCCGCACCCCACTGTCGCTGTTGCATGCAGCAGATGCAGAGATGGAAAGGGGGGGCATGTGGAACAGGCAGGGGTTAGGGAGACGTTCAGCAATTGTTAAGAACTATGGCAGTGTAACACTTGTCTTAGTTTTGCTTTGATAACAGAATATATTTGACTGAAAAGGAGAAGCAGAACCTCTCCCCATATTAAAATAAAACCAAGGCCCAGATCTGAGTCACTTTGGTGCCACAGACATTTGGTGGCAGAGTTGGCTGGCGTCTCAACCATCCACAAGTGCTCACTCTTCCGGTAATACTTGTGACCCCAGGGTTCATGATAACTTAAATCTAAATAAAGATTTAAAAACATTCACACACATTCATAGTTTAGGTCCGACTACTTCCAATGGTGCAGAAACAGTAGTTAGCAGCTTTACCAAAACGTAGGAGGAGGTGTTCCACATGCTCCTCCAGTCCTCCCTTCTAGAAAGTTATGCCTGCCCTCCACTTTGGGTAGGTGCAGTGTGCTGGCAGGCCCTGCTCATGCAGCCCCCTGCCCAAGACAGAACTGGAGTTTTATTGGGGGAGGAGGGTGGTCAGGTCTTATTTCCCAGCCTCTCTTGCAACCCGCAGTGGCTGTGCCTAGGTGTTTTGGCCAGACAGATACAGGTGGAAGTCGGCTGCGGTGGGTGTCCCTTTCCAGCTAAATGGGCTGTCTCCCCAGGGAGGGTTCAGCCACCCTCCTCCTGCTGGCAGGCCACACACTAAGGAAGGAGGGAGCGGGAGAGAGGAGGACTCAGCTACTGGACTAGGAAGTTACACAAGCTCAGGACTTGTTGCTGCAGACAAATTCCCACAACATAAGGGCCTATTATCTGAGGCCAAACATAGTTCTGGGGATCTAGTGCTGTCAAGCAGGGTGTTGTAGCTTGAGTGCTCCAAGGAGTAGGGGTGAGTCTGACTGCCCACAGAACCGCTCCCAGAACATCCAAAGAGCCGGTACCCACTGTGCTGGCCCATGCAATGGTCCTGGACCCTTCCCATAGGACTCCCTGAGAAGGGGCTTTGAAATGCAGACTTTAGCCCCCTACCACCTTACTGAATCAGAGTTGTGGGGGCCAGCATGCCCAGATCTCTTAAGGATTTAACCCCCTTCTTGTGGACTGCTTTTGCAGCAAGGAGCTGAGTCCGCACTGACTGTATCATTGGGTGACACGATCTGCTCCACTGATCCCCAGGCATACCTTCCTCCCATATCTACCTCTCACCTGGGAGGGCACATCCTGGCTTAATTAATTCCTGGAGGTCTCAATTACAGGATAAAGCTTCTTACCACCAGAAATGCAGGCATTCACATAAAGTGCCTGGGACAGTGCCTGGTAATAGGGCAAAACAACCACTTGCTACATAGGGCAACATGGGTTATAAACGTGAATGAAAATGATCACAAGGGAAGTGGAGCTCAGGGATATGGCTGTGCTCCCACACAAGACCGTGCAGGATTCCACACCACACCAAAGCAGCAGACAACGGCACAGAGGTGTCTGAGGGAGGGCTGACAGGGCAAAGGCCTTTGAAGGCTGCTTGTGAGCTCACATGAAGAGTGTCTTCCAGCACCAACCATTTTCAAATGAGGAACCCCCAGATGGTTTCAACCAGAGCAGCCACACGAGTCCCTCCTAAGACTGTTTGGGTAACACTAAGATCGACCGTTAAAGGTTCTGTGTGGCTCAAACACCTGATAGATCTAATGATACTCATCACTACGGGCTGAGGTCCAGGGAGAGAAGTGTTTGTGGGTCTGGGGCCCCTGTCTCCTGACCCAGTGGGCTCCCCACATCACCAAGCTGAATCCATAGGCAGGCAGAGCTGTGCACACAAGGCACCTGGCCAGGGTTCTGGAGAGTGGCAGTTGACATTCGGATGTTCTGATGGACCCACTTGCTGTGACAGTTGAAGGTTTATGACGGACAGACATCATTCCAAGAGCAATTTAATTTCTCTTGCCTCCTCACCCTGATGATCACTTTATTTTCTAAGCTGCATAGTAACTCATGTCAGAGGAGCAGGGGGGCCAGAGCGGGGAGTGAAGGGGGTGTACACCAACTCTCCTCCTCCAACACCGCGGCTACAGCCTTCAGAGCACAGCTCCCAGAGCAGCACCACTCTCTGGAAAAGGGCTCTGGACATGAGCAGAAGACTTAGCTCCTACCATGCCTTCATCAAAATGTGTGGCTGGCCCAAAGTGAGGACCCTAAATTGAGGAACCATTGAGCCATGAAAAGACAACATAAAGGACCCAGAAAGGCACATACCTAAGTAAAAGAGCCAATCTGAAAAGCCCACATACTGTATGATTCCCGTGATGTGACATTCTAAAAAAGACAAAACTACAGAGATGGCAAAAGGATCAGCAGTTGCTAAGGGTTAGGATGGAGGATGGAATAGGCAAGACAGAGGATTTTTAGGGCCATGAAATGATTCTGTGTGATACCGTAACGAGGGATACACATCATCACACATCTGTCCAAACCCATGAAACGGACACCAACAGTGAACCCTAATGCCAGCCATGGACCTCGGATGATAATGACGTGTCAAACGTGAGTTCCTCAACTCTTAAAAAGCAAACAGCTCTGCGGGGGACGTCGACGGTGGGAGGGCTGCGTATGTATTGTGGGGTGGGTAGTATGGGAAATCCCTGTACCCTCCCCTTAATTTCGGACAAGTTTGTTGCCTCAGTTGTGCTGTGAATCTAAAACTGCTCTAAAAAACAAGCTTTATTAGAAATAAAAAAGTGACGTTGGGGGCTTCCCTGACCACCCAGCCCCCCCAGCCCCCGTTGCTCACCTGCCCGTCGTGCCTGCGCTTCTTCATGAACTGAGTGATGCACATGCTGCCCGCTGACTTCCTCTTCAGCGAGACGGGTGTCCCCTGGCTGGGCCCTGCAGCCGGGACAGTGCCACTGTCCTCCCTGGTGGCCGAGGGCACCATGGTGACATAATTCCACTGGCACGGTACAGGCAGGTGCTCCTGATCAAAGCTCTTCAGCACCTGTGGGTGGACGTACCAACACATCCTGAAATCGGGCCTCTTCTCATACACTGAGTTCTCAGAAATAATCCGCTTGAGCCTGGCCTTGGAGGGGACAGTGTTGTCCTCACTGGTGGTGGGGGTCTGTGGGCGGGAAGAGCCAGGGCTCGGAGGGCTGGCGGAGCTGTTCTCAGGACTGTTGGTGTCCTTGCTGAGCAGTCCTTGGCGGCAACACTCTTGGAATTCCCGGATGATGACTTTGCTTCCATTCACGTTCCCGTGCAGCAGCGGAAGCAACTGGGCCAAGACTGGTGGGGAGAGGTGGGGATACAGGTGGGTGTCAGACACGGGGAGAAACACAATAAACACTGCACATGGTACCTGAACCTGTCACCAAAATTGAGGGACATGATCAGCTTCAGGTGGCCTTTTAAGGGTACATTTAAGACACAAAGACTTGCTCCGGAAGAGATTCTGGGAAGCCCAAACCTCACAAGGCAGATTCATTCAGATGAAATTATCATGTCTGACTTTATGCACCTGTGTTTCCTCGGTCACGGTCATCGTGCTCTCATTCTGAGGCACCGGTCCTCCCCAGTTCTGAAGAGTGAGGAGGCACAGAGGTGAGAGATATGAGTGACCCTGGGCCAAGCACTCTGGACCTGTGTCCCTCCCTGTTGGTAAAATGGGCTGATTAAACTAGCTACCTTGTACTGCTACTGTGAATATCAGAGAAGAAACAGATGTGTTCAGCAAGTGCTGGCCTTTGTAATTTACTGAAAGAACTTTTAAATTATTAATCCACTCGCCTAAGACGTCTGCCCTTGGCCCTGGACCAACCTGGGCCTCGGAGCAGGTGGGAGCCTGATCCCCTTCTGCCCCTGCCCCAAGCCAGCACTCACTGTGCTGGTCCCTCTTCTCTCTCTTGGAGGCCTTGGGCGTCTGCTCCTCCTCGGAGGGAACTGTCTCTAGAAGGCACGCCGTGAACTGCTCTAGCACCTTCAGGTCGGCGCTGTCATCCTTGTCTGCCGCCCAGATGCAGCCAATCTTCACGGGCTGGAGCACGCGGAACCGCTTTCCCTTGGCTAAAAACTCATCCCACTCCTTGGCCTTCAGCTTCTGGCGGACCTTGTGGTTCTCGGGGTCGGCACATTCCTTGCAGGTGAGAGAGCAGACGCTTACTCAGGGTCCCCACTCCTCTCCACTTCAGGCACTGCACTGCAGTCCCAGCCTTGGGGACCGTGAAGCAGAGAGCTTTTGGGGGCAGTTATTCGAAAAGTCAGGGCCAAGGCAGAAACAGCACCTTCATGGTTCCCACCACGTCCTACTTGTCCCTTCTCTAATATTATAGGAAATGAAACGTGCAGAAAGCTTTTCTAGACTGAATGGTAATTGGCACTCCTGGTGCTTTAGATGCATCTATCCGGTCTGGCTGTGACAATGAGTCACAGGTATACAAGAGGCCGCCAAATTCCACTCTTGATTTTCAGGTTAACATGTGACCCCAGGAGCTGTAGAACTCAACGCCCAGTACAGCCACAGGGCCGGGCCTCTCCCACAACAAATGATACCACTAAGAGATGCTTGTGGGCCCAACAAGACACCAGCCTGCCTCATTGGTCAGAAATGTATATAGGACTCATCCCCATTAAGTCTGACTTTGAGGCAAAGTCATTCTACAGTTTACCACACCTGTCACTGTTTCACCACTACCCCAACACCACAGTTGATAGTCCTTTGGAGCCCTAAAAATGGCTTATGCCAAAGTTCAACCATGTGGCAATATTTAGAAGATGGTGGTGGTGGTGGGCTAAACTTGAAGGGGAATTGAAGGAACCCTCTGGAGAGATGGAAAGTTCTATATTTTATTTCAGGTGGTGATGTTGCCAATTATTAAAACCCATCAAACTGAATAATTAAAATGTGAATGTTCTGTACGTTACTTACACTTTAGCTAAACACATGTTAAAAAAAAAATGTTTGTCAAGCTGACCCACGAACCACAGTCAATCCTTGTCTGGGGTTTCTTCTCAATCCCTCCCATCACTGGGAATTCTCTCCCACTTCCCAGACAAGCCCCAGCACAGGGTCCAGAATTCCCACAGATGACCACCTGTGGGGGATCAGCTTCAGATCTACAAGGAGCAAGATACATGTGGGATCAGCTGTGGGTAGGCTGGGACCCATCGGCACTGTCCCCAGGTTAGCAGGTTAGCACCAAGTTCTGGCTCCAGATTGAGCCCCTCTTTGACCAGCCGCCTCCCCATGCACCCACTCACCTCAGTTACTCCCTCATCCTCAGACAGGTACCCATGGGGCACAAAAAAACCATCATCCTCATCTTCGTCATCTCCTACTTCATCATCATCATCCTTAAAAAAAAAAAAAAAGTATGTTCACATGTAGAAACAATACATGCTTCATTAAAAATTTAAATTTGTAGCCCTGGCAGGTGTGGCTCAGTGGAATGACTGCCAGCCTGCAAACCAAAGGGTCGCTGGTTTGATTCCCAGTCAGGGCACATGCCTGGGTTGTAGGACAGGTCCCAGTTGGGGGCACATGAGAGGCATCAATGTTTCTCTCCCTCTCCCCCCTCCACCAAAATAAATACAATCTTTAAAAAACAAAAAGAGGTTAAAAAAAATCTTTAAATCTGTGGGCCTGGCTAGGTAGCTCAGTTGGTTAGAGTGCTGTCCTGATATACCAAGATTTCAGGTTCAAACCCCAGTCAAGGCACATACAAGAATTGATTAACCAAAACCTCATGAACTAATTCCATTGTACTGCAGTGGGGGACGAGGGCCAGGCAACACACCAAGGACTGAAGTCCCCCAGTAAATCAAGAGGGAGTGGTGGAGACCTGGGTGAACCAGAGTGGGTGTGCCCCATCTAGAAGGGGCGACTGTGCTAGGTGACAACCCACTACTGCCAGGCAGATTAGTGTTGCCAAATAAGGTATTCCAAGAGAAGCTGGAAACCCAGATGTGAGTCGCTGGCTGACATTTTCAGACAACTCTGTAGATGACAGAGAAGCTGCGTGAGTGAATCCAGCCCAGGGCTGCTGCGGTCCTTTGGGAGAAGCTGGGATCATTCCAGGTCCGTACTCACCCCTTCACTGTGAGAGAGAGACTCTCCTGGCTCCTCCTCTTCCCACTCTTCATCGCTGTCTACCTCATAGTCCAGGAGCTTCTGAGAAAACAGACACGCAGTGCGTCACTGCCATCTCTCAGGGTGGGGAGGAAATGGCAGAGCAGAGAAGCTAGAATACTTACGGAATGAGAGAGACGAGTGTAAACAAAGACAAACTGAGAAGGGAAAACTGAAACATAGGTGTGCCCAGACCACTGGCACTTTGGCTTGCAAGCTCACCCTGTCTTGGGCCCAGGGGTCCCTTGGATGGATGACCGTCGTCCTCTTATTCCACGTCCCCCAATATGCTGGTCGGTGATTCTCAGAAAACTGTAAGAGCTTCATCCTGCCAAACTTCTTCCTTTCAGGAACGCCATCTACTTTGCTGCTCTCCACGATCACCACATCACTGAAGGGTAAGACACTGCGCTCAGTCACATGCCTCCCCAGCGACACGATCACCTGGTCTTCCCAAGGAAGCAGGCCACCAACAGTCTACAAGGGCAGGTAACCATTAAGCAGCAACACCCCCTGACCCTGAAGAAGGCTAAGGACATTCACTCCAGAGACACAACACAAGGAGGGGAAACCAGAGTGCTGCCATGCTGCTGCCCCATGGCATGCCTGTGAGCCAGGTCATGGTGAAAAAGTCCATTGGCCAAGAGCAGGGAGCACCCCTCCAGGGAGGCCAGCATTGGAAATGGATCCCTCCCAAGAGAGACTGGGATGCTGAACAGGCCGCCTGCACTCCCAGAGCACACCTCAGAGATTTCAGAGGCTCACAGGAAGCCAAAGAGAGGTCAGACTAAACTCTGAACTGAGGGCTGGAGACATGGGAGGGAGATGACTGGCCCAAGGCCACAGTGGGTCAGCAGCGGACCAGAATCTGTAGTTAGGCCCACTGCACTCTGACTTCTCCAACAGGCAAAGGACAGTCTCCAGGACACTAACCTGTTTAAAAACTCTGCATTCTGGTTAGAAACCACAGTGGGTCCAGACCTGAGGGGCTGCCGGCCTTTTAGATCTTTCAGGAAGGAGAAGTTGTCGCTTTGCTGCTGCAGGAGCTGGTCTAACTGATCACAGAGGTCTTGGTCAAAGGCAATCCGACAACGAGGGGCGAGGACCATGTTCTCTTTAATTTCAAAAGGGGCAAACTTCCCGCAGGAGCCAGCCAGGGTCTGAAATGGAGATAAGATGTGATGGCACACCTGGGTGATGGATGCCACTCAGCAGAGGCATCCAGGTGGGTAAGTCAAAGGACAGATGCCATGCGATGACATTAATACAGGTTTTTGGAACAGGTGAAACTATAGGGACAGAGCAGTGATGGCCACAGGCTGGTGAGGGAAGGAGGGAACTAGCTACAAGGGAGCCATCAGGAGTGATGGAAACACTGCAGATCTTGATCACACAGTTGCTGTGTGGCCTCATACATTGCCGAAACTCATTCAGTGGCGAATTGCTGTAAATTATACCTCAATAAATCTGACTTTCCTTTAAAAATAAAGAACAAAAGAAGACAATGAAGACCTGAGTTGTCACGTGAGGAAACTAAGACTTGGAGAGTGACTAGCTTACCGAGAGATGCACTTCTATGATACAAGATGACCTTCAACATAGGGTCAGTTTCAACACTAAAGGCAGACATGACCCTGAAACACTGGTGTCTGTGTTCTAAGAACCACCCACTATAAATTCTAGGAGGTTTGATTTCCCTGCTCAGGCTCCTTCGGCATCGTTCATGTGTGTGTCAGTGGACCCCAAAGCCGGCAGCATATGAGGGCATAGAAAGCGAGGACGATCTATGTCTATGAAGTCCAACATGAGAGAGCCAACCTTTCATATCAGCAAGGAGAGCGGCTGAGGCCAGCAACCCTCCTCGTGGCCCCACAACAGGGTAATGCAAGGGCTGTCAGGAACTCTGCTGCCCACGCCAGGCCCAAGGTGTTCTACAGGATGGGACCCAGACCCCAGTGTTTTCTTTTTTGTAGTCCATTGGTTATGCTAATACAGTTGTCCTGATTTTCCCTTTGCCACCCCCCATCCAGCCCCCCCACTCTCTTAAGCAGCGCCCCCTCACCATTGTTCATGTCCATGGGTCATGCATAAAAGTTCTTTGGCTGCTCCACTTCCTATACTGTACTTTGCACCCCCATGGCTACTCTGTAACCACCTATTTGTATTTCTTAATCCCCTCACCTCTTCACCCATCCCTGCACCACCTTCCCATCTGGCAACCATCAAAAGGCTCTCCCCAAATCCATGATTCAGTCTCTGTTATGGTTTGCTTAGTTTGTTTTTTAGATCCAGTTGTTGATAGATATGTATTTTTGCCATTTTATTTTCATAGTTTTAATCTACTTCTTAAATAAGTCCCTTTAACATTTCATATAATAATGGTTTGGTGATGATCAACTCCTTAATTTTTTCTTGTCTTGGGAAGCTATCTGCCCTTCAATTCTAAATGATAGCTTTGCTGAGTAGAGCAATCTTGGCTGTAGGTCCCTGTTTTTCAAGACTTTGAATATTTCTTTCTAGTCCCTTCTAGCCTGCAAAGTTTTTTTTTGAGAAATCAGCTTATGGGAACTCCCTTATAGGTAACTAATTTCTTTTCTCTTGCTGCTTTCAAGCCTCTCTTTAATCTTTGGCATTTTAAGTATGATGTGCCTGGGTGTGGGCCTCTTTGCATCCATCTTCTTTGGGACACTCTGTGCTTCCTGGACTTGCACGTCTATTTCATTCACCAAATTAGGGAAGCTTTCTTTTATTTTTTTCCAATAGATCTCCAATTTCTTGCTCTTTCTCTTCTCCTTCTGGTACCTCTACAATGCAAATGTTGGACCTCTTGAAGCTGTTGCAGAGGCTGCTTATACTATCTTAATTTTTTTGTTCCAAATCATTGATTTGATTCTAGGCCTCATCATTCTACTGTTGTTTCCCTATAAATTGTTATTTAAAAGAGTGTTTCCTTCATTTCTGACTTGATCATTTTTATGCTGCTGAGGTCCTCACTAAGTTCCTTGAATATCCTTATAACCAGTGTTTTGAACTCTGCAACTGATAGATTGCTCTTTTTCTGGAATTTTGATCTGTTCTTTCATTTGGGCCATGTTTCCTTTTCTTGTTTTGGCAGCCTCCCTGCATTTGTTTCTGTGTATTAGGTAGAGGTGCTCTGACTCCGTGTCTTGGTAGTATGCCCTACTGTAGTAGGTGTTGTATAGGGTCCAGTGGCACAGCCTCCCCTATTTCCCAAGCTGGGTACCCATTATACACCACTCATGTGGGCTGACCCTAAGCAAACCCTCTTCTTGTAGTGGAACCTTGACTGCTATTGGCAGGTCAATTGGAGGGATTTACCCAGGCCAATCAGCTGCAAGGATTGGCTGTGACCACTGACTACCGCCCTCTGCCCTCTGTGGAGGACCAGTTGTGCAGGGGTAGGGTGGTGGTGGTGCTGACGTGGTCCGTAGCTGTACACTGGGTGCGTGGAGGCTTCGTGTGAGACCGGGACTCCTTGCTCCTGAGATATACTTCCTAAATTTTTATCCACCACACGTTGGTATGGGACCAGCCTGTTTTGCATCTGCACCCCTCCCTCCACCAGTATGGATGGATGTGGGCTTTTTAATTCTATAATTGTCAGACTTCCATTCAACTCGATTTCTGATGGTTCTGAGTGATGACTGTTCTATATTTTAGTTGTAATTTTGATGTGGTTGTGCAAGGAGGAGAGCCATGTCTTCCTATGTCACTATCTTGACCGGAAGTCCCCAGTGTTCTTTAACGCTCCTTGGTGATGCCAACATATACCCAAGGCCAAGAACCAGCTGATTGTTCTAACAAGCAATACTTGGAACACTGAGCACCCATATGGGAAAGGGCCATGCCCCACACTATGAACACAGATTTCCAGTTAGGCTGAGGAACTAGACATAAAAAACAAAACTTAGGCCATGGCTGGCATGGCTCAGTGGATTGAGCGCTGGCCTGCAAACTGAAGGGTAGCCAGTTAAATTCCCAGTCAGGGCACATGCCTGTGTTGTGGGCCAGGTCCTCAGTTGGGGGCGTGTGGGAGATGACCAATCAATGTTTCTCCCCCACCCCCTCTAAAAGTAAATAAATAAAATCTTTTTTTAAAAAAAGGGCAAGTTAACAGACTGAAAGTATTTGTGATGTATATCATCAAGGATGAAAATCCTGGCTATATAAATAACTCCTAGAGACCAGGTTAGAAAGCCAATCCTGTACAGAAATAACATGGCAAATGGTCCTGACTGATGTGACTAAGTGGGTTGTCCCACAAACTGAAGGTTTGCTGCTTAATTCCCGGTTAGGACACATGCCTGGGTTGCGGGCCAGGTATCCTTGATTGGGGATGTGTGAGAGGTGGATGATCGCCGTTTCTCCCCCTTTCTCCCTCCATCCCCTTCTCTCTTAAAAAGCCAAAATAAAAAACATGCTCAACTACACTAGACATCATGAAAAATGTAAAGTGAAACAAGGATATCAATTTTTTACCCATTAGGTTGGCTAAGTTAAAAGAACATTTGACAGAGAGAGATATGACTATGGAAGAACAACCAGAGAGACCCAGGGCTACTGGCTTCGAAGATGGAGGAAGAGGCCACATGCCAAGAAATGCATGCACATTCAGAAGATGAAAAAGACCAGGAGACAGATTCTCCTCTGGAGTCTCCAGCAAGAAACACAGCCCTGCTATAGTTAAAACACTTTCACTTTATGGCCCTGGCTGGTGTGGCTCAGTTAACTGAGCTCCGGCCTGAAAACCAAAGTGTCGCTGGTTCGATTCCTAGTCAGGGCACATGCCTGGGGTGCAGGCCAGGTCCCCAGTAGGGGGCACACAAGAGGCAACCACACACTGATGTTTCTCTCCTTCTCTCCCACCCTTGTCCTCTGTCTAAAAATAAATAAAATCTTGAAGAAAAAATAACAAAAACAACAAAACAAAACTTTGACTTTAGTCCAGTGAAAACTGTTGTACTTCAGATCTGCAGAACCGTGTGGTAATAAATTTGTTATGTTAAGCTTTTAAAAATATAGTTATCACATCCAGTGGTGGTGGCAGGTAGGGAAGATTGTATTTTCATGTTTTGGGGAATATACACCAGCATGTCCTTTTGGGAAGACACTAGGACAATTATGACTACAATCTCACTGAAATGTATACCCTTGGGCCTAGCAGCAAGCCCACCTCCAGGGGGCCATCCAAAAGAAAGGCACCTATGCAGAGAGGCGTGTCAGTGACATTCATGGCACCACTGGTGGGGAGATAGATAGGAGAATGTTCTCTGGACACAGTGATACTATCCACATTATGAAGCATTATGCAGCAACAAAGAATGAAATAGACCTAAGTGTTGACCTGGCAAGAATCCATGTTACAGTGATGCAAACAAAGCAGTAACATTATAAATTCAGATCAATCCTGATTTATATGTATATAATTGCACAAATATACAAGGAGACCTAAATACAGAAATACCTAGAAGGAAACCCTTGCAGCGGAGATGGGTTACCTCTGGAGTACACAGGGAGAAGGGAATGGGGGAATCTGGGGTCTGCACAAGCAGATGAGACTTCAGGGGGTGACTGGGTGCCAGACTGGAGAAGTGGAATTCTGGGTTCTTGTTTTATGCTTCATCTTGCTTCCCAACTTGTGTGTTAAGTCCCAAGGATAAGGGCCAGATTTTCTCACATCTTCCCACACAGCTCCTCACACAGTAACCTCTAAACACGTGGCTTTTAGCAAATGGGCCACTTTTTGCCTTTTCAAGGACATAGCGAGAACTTCTAGGCTCTACCAGGAACAGAAGTTTCTGCTGATCAGAAGATACCCTTTTGTTTTTCCAAAGGAGGAGCCTAACAGCAACAAAAAGCAAGGTCAAAGAAAGCTGCTGCTCACCTTGGGGGCCTGTGGAGTCTTTGGTTTCTGGAAGAATCTTGTGATTTCGGCTTTTTCTGCTTTAATGCGCTGCAATTTAATAGAAGATGAGGAAATGAACAGGAATTGTGTGTGTTCGCAATGCACAAAGGTCCCTAGAACTAAACCCCAACACTTTTAAGTTGAAACATTATTTTGATGTTAATTTTTAAAACTTTTTAAAAACCCATCAATCTCTCAACTGGGTACTAAATAATCTTGAGTGTCAGAGATGCTCTTGTGAGCAGAAAGGCTGGGGCATCAAGCTAGCAGGCATGTGACAGGCCAGCATGACAACAAGCTACAGGAACACATGTACACAGACGACAGCCCCTGTGGAGACAATGGACCTCCCACGACTTAGGGAACACTGGGCAGCAGTAGGCAAAAACCCTGTTTGTGACAATTCTAGGACCAGACCAGCGTATGGAGGTCTCAAACAAACCAGAACATGGATGTTCTGGGAAGATGTCTACCTTTTCCTCTTCTCTCAACCGTTTCTCCTCTTCCTTTTTCCTCTTCTCCTCCAGCTTTGCCCTGTGGGACATGAAATTCGGTTTCAGCCAACCAGAGCCTGATACACACAAAAAGAGCCTGTGTTCCCGGACAAGAACCCACGAGTCAGTTAGGAGTCTGCACAGGTGTCCCCAGAAGACAGAGGCAGGAGGAGAAGGGGGAGTACACCAGGGTTCTGGCTTCTTTTACCCCTTCTTCGGGGAAGATACAGAAAGAGAGGGAAGGAGGCAGTGGCCTTGCCCCAGACCGCTCACACCACCCTGGGTACGACACTCACTCCAGGGCCTCCTGTCGCTCCTTGCGCCGCTCCTCCTTGAGTCGCTGCTTCTCTGCCTTCTCCTTTTCTTCCTTCTCCCTTTTCTCACGCCTCTCCTTCTCCTTCATCTCCTTCTCTTCCTCCCTCTTCTTTCTGGCTTCTTCTTTGACCCGTTTAGCCTCCTCTTTCTGCTTCTCTTTTTCCTCTTTTTTGGCCCGTAACTTCAGCTGCTTGCTCAAACGTTCCTTATCCTGCAGCCAAGAGACAATTTGACAGCTATGCCCCCTGCAGACAGACCTCCAGGGAAGGGTCTGGTCAGCATCATGGAGACAATTAATTCAAGCAGAAAGGGAAAGAATGAAGGAACCAGCTCTAGAAGTCCGATCGATGGTCAAAATGTTTACACGGAAGTGATTTTTCCATCACATTTCCTTCTGTTTGAGAATTAGCTATTGTCACAGGAACTTGTGGGCCATTTAAAATAAGATTCATTTAAAATACCTTCTTTACACATGGAGCGGCGTTAACTTTTTACTTAAAAATGATTAAGTACCCTGGGCTGCCTGTGCTGGGTGCCCACTGTTCTTTTGAACGGCATTTATTTAATCAGAAATCTGTGGTAAAATAAAGATAAACACAGTTTTGCCTCCCTGTCTTTTTTTTTTTGTTTTTTAAGATTTTATTTTTATTTATTTTTTAGAGAGGGGAAGAAAGGGCGAAAGATAGGGAGAAACATCAATATGGGGATGCCTCTCACGCGCCCTCTACAGGGGACCTGGCTGCCACCCAGGCATATGCCCTGACTGGGAATAGAACTAGCCACCGTTTGGTTCTCAGTTCAGCACTCAGTCCATTGAGCTGCACCAGCCAGGCTGCCTCATGCCTTTAAACCAAAAGCTCTTTTGTTTCAATCCTCCCCTAAACCATACCAGATGACAGGGTTTATTTTATTTCTTTTAAAAATGGAAGATTAGATGAGGCAAGGACAGGAAACCAGCTGGGAAAAAAAAAAACTTAAAACAGCAGGGAACTGAGAATGCACTAAAAAATACAAGCAAAAAAATTATTGTTTTAAATCTTTAAAACCATTTCTTAGGATCTGAAAAGAAGGGTGGGTGTGAAGAAAGGATGAAAAGTAATTTGTGTAACTAAGGAGAAAACAGCTAGTGTCTTCGATATTTGTTAAGATGGTCATGTCTTGTTTCAGCACATCAGTCCCTGATTCCAAAGAACTGGCATGTGGCCTGGGGCACTGAGTTATTACAGAATCCATGTGACCAGAAGGGCAGTAAGCCTCTAACACAGCGCAGAGTAACTCTCAAGGACCATTACATTTACCACCAAAGATGGTCTTCCCAAGGTGAGGAGCCCGACAACTCCACCTTTTGGTCTGGGTGTCCGATTATGCCTTGTCTCTAGAGAATATTCTACCCTTTGCCCTGGTAACCCTTTGGTTGTTTTAGTAAAAGCCATGGAGGCTGTTATTTAGAGATGTATGAATGTTTGCCAAGTATCCTCAGAATCTTCACTTGACACTTAGAGTACTTAAGATAATGTCTGATCTGGATCGAGAAATGAGACTAACAGCTCCCCACTGCTCATTAAGAAGGCAGAAGGCTCTGGAAAGCAAGGGTCAATTAGATAAAACAGGTCTCTTCAGCCATATTTGAGTCTAGTCTCCACTTCCACCCATGTGTGGCCATCTCTAAAATCGCAGGGGAGAATGAGATACACTCTAAAGAAGCCATCAAAATCAGACCCACAAAAACCAAAGACAGCCAAAAGGTGGACAGCACAGGAAGCACCGGTGAACCCACAGCCAATTGTTATCAGTGCCCCTTCCATGAGCTGGCATAGGAAGGGAGAAAAACTGGCCTTCTGTTTTTCACAGTAGTAAGAAAAATCTTGCATGCACTGCTGTGTACAAAACTTGGTGATCCCTAGATAAGAGAATCCACAGCTCTGCAGTGCACCACTAAGTAGTAATCACCCATCTCTGTAGGGGCCATAAAAATGCTACAGCACCAGGGAAGGAATGGAACTTAATTAAACTCTATTCGTAGGAGGTTGCCATGCAGGGAAAGGGAGTAGGTTCATGTGTAGACAATTTTAAGCTACAATTGGATACACAAATATTACTATAATAATAATAGCTTGGAAAGGCTACATGCAAAGACAGGCTTTAGCAAAGCTAAAAATGATGCAATCTATGATACCCAGTTATATAAAATGAAGCAAGAGCCACAGTGAGGGTCAGGATAAACTGGGAGAAGTAAAAACTGGGCTGAGGGAAGCACAAAGGATTCAGCTTATAGTTAATGTAAAAAGCACAGCAGGTTAATTTTCTTTATCAGGGAAAATGTCTTACTCTTTGTAGTTTCATCTTGTTCTTCTCAGCAGAACCTTTGACCAAGTTCTTAGTTATCTGAAACGAAAGACATATACCTTTAAATATGGGTTGTTTCAGTCACTGTAACACACTGCAATCCTGGGGGGTGGGGGAAAGAAGGAAACAAGAGACACACACTATTAAGAACTCCTTTGTGGCCCTGGCCAGGTAGATCAATTGGTTACAGTATCATCCTGACACATCAAGGTTGCAGGTTTAATCCCCAGTCAGGGCACATAAAGAAAAAAAACAACAACGAATGCATAAGTAAGTAGAACAATAAATTGATGTTTCTCTTTCTCTGACAATTAAAAAAAAGAACTTCTTGCTCTGGCTTGGATGGACTGAGCTCTACCCTACGAACTGAAACATTGCTGGTTTGATTCCCAGTCAGTGCACATGTCTGGGTTGCAGGCCAAATCCCCAGTTGGGGGTGAGCAAGAGACAACTGATCAATGTTTCTCTCCCTTTCCCTCTCTTTCTAAAAAAGAAATAATAAAATCTTAAAAAATAAAAAAGAACTTTGCAAAACAAGAAAAATGAAAACCTTTCCAGGTTTTCAGTTATATGAAATGAAGTTTCCACCATATAGAGTTCATACATTTTATGATTTCCACCATATAGAGTTCATACATTTTATGATTTCCAGGTAACCAGTTTCCACCATATAGAGTTCACACATTTTATGATTTCCACCATAAAATGTCTTAGGGGAGGGTCATACACTCCAATGACTTACACACATGTGCATTGGGGATAAGAAGGGAAATGGGGGACGGGCAGATGACATGAATGAATGACAGAGGCCAAACACAAAGAAAACATGGCAAGCTGGAAAATAAAAGCAATGCAGATGACATGCAGTGGTCACCTGCAAGATTTGCAGCCAACTAGATATGATGCAACCTGGCAAAAGAGGACGGAGCTCTTATAGGCAATTCCTAAGAGAGAATTGTCAATTTTACAGGTAATATTTAAAAACTAACACTATGTGGCCCTGGCCAGGTCAGTCAGCTGGCTGGAGCACTGTCCCAGTGAGCCAAGGTTGCAGGTTCGACCCCAATCAGGGCACATATAGGAGTCAACCAGTGAATGCATAGATGGGTGGAACAGCAAGTCAATATTTCTTTCTCCCTCCCTTCCTTTCTCTCTAAAATCAATAACAAAAATATAGCAGCCAGCCTGGTATGGTTTAGTGGATTGAGTACCAGCCTGTGCATCGAAAGGTAGCTGGTTTAATTCCCGGTCAGGGCACACGCCTGAGTTGTAGGCCAAGTCCCTGGTTGGGTCACAGATGAGAGGCAACCAATCAATGTCTCACTCACACATCAATGTTTCTCTCCTTCTTTTGTCTCCATTCCTGCCTCTCTAAAAAAATAATAAAACAAACAAATAAATAAATCTAGATTAAAAGAAGAGGGAAGAAAAGGAATGCCTAAGGGGGATAAAAAAAAAAAGGAAGAGGGAGGCACAGGTAGATACATTGTGCCTCCTCACACAATCAAAAGAGGGACGCCAAAAATTTAAAAATAAAAAACAACCAAAATGGACAGAAAATCAAAGTGTATTAAAGTCAGACAACTAAGAAGTTAAAGAAGACACATTCATACATTCACCCAGACCAGTAAGAGGGGTGGAGACAGGCAGCTTGGCGGAGAGGACTCGCAGCAAGGCAGCAGCTGGTGGACCGGTAGTCCCACATTCATGTGCAGGTACACCAGGAGGAACAGCTGAGAAGCGAAACAGACCATGCAACATGGGGTCCCAGCATGGGGTAATAAAGCCTCAAACCACTCATTGAAAACACCGGTGGGGGTTGAGGCAGCAGCGGGAGAAACTCACAGACTCACAGGAGAGTTTGTTGGAGAGACCCACAGGGTATTGGAACGTACAGAAGCCCACCCACCCAGGAACTGGCACCAGAAGGGCCCAATTTGATTGTGGGTACTGGGGGAAATGACTGAAAACTGTCAGAGAGCAGAGCAAGCACCACTGTTCCCTCTTCGACCCCTTTCCCTCACAGTGTCACAACGCAAAGCAACGCAGCACAGCTACATCAGTTGCCCTGCCTTGGTGAACACCTAAGGCTCAGCTGTTACTATGTAACAGGTGCACTGGGGTGGGGGGGAGAAGGCCCAAATGAAAGAACAGATCAAAGCTCCAGAAAAAATACAACTAAGCGACCAAGAGATAGCCAACCTATCAGATGCACAGTTCAAAGAACTGGTGATCAAGATGCTCACAGAATTAGTTGAATTTAGTCGCAAATTAGATGAAAAAATGAAGGCTATGCTAAGTGAAATAAAGAAAAATGTACAAGGAACCAATAGTGATAGGAAGGAAACTGGAACTCAAATCAATGTTGTGGATCAGAAGAAAGAAACAACCAAACAGAAAAGAATGAAGAAACAAGAATTCAAAAAAATGAGGAGAGGCTTAGGAACATCCAGGACATCTTTAAACATTCCAACATCCGAATTATAGGGGTTCCAGAAGGAGAAGAGGAAGAGCAACAAATTGGAAACTTATTTGAACAAATAATGGAGAACTTCCCTAATCTGGCAAAGGAAATAGACTTCCAGGAAGTCCAGGAGGCTCAGAGAGTCCCAAAGAAGTTGGACCCAAGGAGGAACACACCAAGGCACATCATAATTATATTAACCAAGATTAAAGATAAGGAGAGAATCTTAGAAGCAGCAAGAGAAAAGGAGACAATTACCCACAGAGGAGTTCCCATCAGACTGTCAGCTGATTTCTCAAAAGAGACCTTACAGGCAAGAAGGGGCTGGAAAGAAGTATTTCAAGCCGTGAAAGGCAAGGACCTACATCCAAGATTGCTCTATCCAGCAAAGCTCTCATTTAGAATGGAAGGGCAGATAAAGTGCTTCTCAGATAAGGTCAAGTTAAAGGAGTTCATCATCACCAAGTCCTTATTATATGAAATGTTAAAGGGATTTATTTAAGAAAAAGAAGATAAAAATATGAACATTAAAATGACAGCAAATTCAGTTATTAACAACCACACCTAAAACAAAAACAAAAGCAAACCAAGCAAACAACTAGAACAGGAACCACAGAAATAGAGATCACATGGAGGGTTAGCAACAGGGGAGTGGGAGGGGGAAAAAGTGCAGAGAATAAGTAGCATAAATGGTAGGTAGAAAATAGAAAGGGGAAGGGTAAGAATAGTATAGGAAATGTATAAGCCAAAGAACTAACATGTATAACCCATGGACATGAACTAAAGGGGTGAAATGTGGGTGGGAGGGGGTGTGCAGGGCGGAGGGGAATAAAGGGGGGGAAATGGGACAACTGTAATAGTATAATCAATAAAATATATTTTTTAAAAAAGGAAAGGAAAATAAAAGACAGTAATAAAAACTAACGCAATGTGAATCAAATAAAGCATGTTAATGGGCTGGATTCCTGTGGGCCACCAATCTGTGGTCTTTGCCTGGTGCAGTTCTGCTTTTTACAATGTAGAGTGAAAGCTCTAGAATAGAAGATCAATGTGCCAGAGGAGGCAATCTGACCTAGAACCACTGTGTTCTAGAGCTTAACGTCCTCTATCACCCTGCCTCAAACTGAGCATGGCGACAAGGACTTCTCAAGACACACGACTGGATTCATGCATGATGTTGGCCAAATGGCCCCAGATCAAAATATGAACAGGAGTTTAGACTACTGGCTCAAGCTTCCTCCAGAGCAGGGAGCCTTGACAACCAAACTTGCTTAGGTTGAAGAGCAGTGGGGAATGAGTTCAGACTTGGACAGGCAGCCAAAAAATGTGGCTGAAGTGGAGCTGGTAAACCAAAGGTCCGTTTCTGTTAAGATGGCCTGACGTGTTGACAAAACCATTTAGCTGTGATTTCTCCATCTGGGGAAGCCTCTGCCCTGACTATGAACTCTTACAGAATAAAACAGATCAACAGATCAACAGTCTCATCCTTCTTATTTGGCATACCAAGTTCTTTCTGGACTCAGTCTTTTTATAGGAAAGGGTTGAGCAGTCATCTGAAAGACATGTGTTGTCAGGAACTCAAACGCCACTGAGACTGTGCCCAAGTGAGCATGTGCCAACAGAAATGCCAGTTACCAAAACCATCTCCAAGATCTTAAGGAAAAAAATAAAACAAAAACAAACAAACAAAAAAGCACCTGTCTGTTCAGAATCCACTTTGCCTGCCAAGTTTATGGGCTTCCCCTCCACAGTAAAAGATTTAACAGCAAATTTTTTTTTAAAAGATTTTGTTTATTTATTTTTTAGAGAGAGAAGAGAGGGAGAAAGAGAGAGAGAGAGAAAGAAACATCAGTGTGTGGTTGCTGTGGTCATGGCCTGCAACCCAGGCATGTACCCTGACTGGGAATCGAACCTGCGACACTTTGGTTCGCAGCCCGTGCTCAATCCACTGAGCTACGCCAGCCAGGGCCTCTAACAGCAAAATTTTTACTTTTGCTATATCATTGCTCTTTGTGCTCAAAGATTATAGTGAATATGATTGTCAGATTCCTATATAAAAGTATTGGGGGCAGGCAGGGAGGGCACATTTAGTCTTGCCCATACTTGTGGAATTTCAGCTGCAAAATCTAGTGCCTTTTACATTGTTTCTCCTTTGCTGTGAGTCTGGGAATACTAAAATTAACATGACTATCAGAAGCCTCCTTAATGATATCCAACAACCTCAGCAATTACAATGTAATATAAAACCAGTATCACTACTGGCCCTGGCTGGGTAGCTCGCTTGGTTAAAGCACTATCCAAATACACCAAATTTGTGGGTTTGATTCCTGGTCAGAGCCCATACAAGAATCAACCAATGAATGCATAAATAAGTGGAATAATGAATGGATATTTATATATACATATAATCGATCAATCAATCAATAACATAGAACAAAACCAGTTCCTCTACTGCTTTACCAGACATTTGGGAGGACCTCATTGATCTGATACAATTTATCTTCGTGACATGGCACAAATATCCAGAGAACTCTCTCAAAATCATGTGCTAGCCCTGGCTGGTGTGCCTCAGTGGATTGAGTGCCAGATTGTGAACCAAAGGGTCGCTGGTTTGAGTCCCAGTCAGGACACATGCCTGGGTTGTGGGCCAGATCACCAGTGGCGGGGGAGGGGGGCACGCATGAGAGGCAACCATACATTGATGTTTTCTTTTCCCCTGCTTTCCCCATTCTCTAAAAACAAATAAAATCTCAAAAAAAAATTTCGTGCCATACATTTTATCTATCTGGAACATAGCCGCCAAAAACAAGACCCAGGATCCCTGAAACACATACCAACTACCTCCAGTCATGGCAGATTTAACTGTGTCTGCACATTAAAATTCCTAATTTTATTCAGGAGAATCCTCTCAGAGCCAATTCACTCTGGAGATCTAATTTCTAAACTCAAAGCAGACAAACAGGGAATGACAGGAGGAGATGCTGGTTTGGATGGGCTCAGAAGCAGCATTTAAAAAACCTAACAGCAGGAGAGAGAAGGCAGAGAGAAAAGACACACCCAAGTTGGTCCAGCCACATTTCAGGGCAAGTGGGGAAAAATTATTCAACAACAACCTGCAAAATTACTGACTGAACAGCCTCAGAAAACAAGTAGAAGGAAATTCATTACAATTATTGTTCTGTCAAGGCAAGAATTAGAGACAACAGAAATATCCATCAGTGAAGCTGACTTTGTGAAGTGCAGTACATCCACACTATAGGCAGTTAGAGATACCTCTTCCCAATCCAATATAAAAAATGAGGCATCTTCCATTGAAAAATAAACAAATTTACGGTATACATTCACATAAAATGATACCATGTATTCCTAAGTGATCTCTCAAATATACCATAAATAGAAGGTGATAATAATGACAACCTGGGGGAGAAAAAGAGGGCCAAAAAGGACTGCCATATTTTAATTAAAAAAAAAAAAAATCCTCACCTGAGGATGTTTTTTGACGAGAGAGAGAGAGAGAGAGAGAGAGAGAGAGAGAGCGAGAGAGCGAGAGAGAAATATCCATGGGTTGCCTTCCATACACACACCCAGACCAGGGATGGAAACCAAAAACTTCGTATGTGTCCTGATTTGGAATCAGACCTGCAGCCTTTTAGTTGTTCAAGATGATGCACCAACCAACCACCTGAGCCGCTTGGCCAGGACAAGAATTTTTTGTCTTTGTTTGTAAAGATTTACTTATTTATTTTTAGGGAGGGGAAGGGAGGGAAAAACAGAGGGAGAGAAACTTTAATGTGTGGTTGCCTTTTGCTTGTCCCCCACTGGGAACCTGGCCTGCAAATCAGGCATGTGCCCCAACTGAGAATTGAACTGGTGACCCTTTGGTACGCAGGCCAGCACTCAATCCACTAAGCCACACAAGTCAAGGCAAAAATTTTTTGTTTAGTATGGAGAATTTAATACTTGTAAAATTAAAATTATATGGGAAAAAGTTCCAGCAATCTGGGCTTATCTGTACAGAAGCAAGGCAGAAATTCCAGTAACACAACTGTGTCAACATTTTCATTGTGGGATATTTCATGTATCTCATTGCCAACATGCTTGGGAAATGGTCGTAATGCTAAAAAGCCCTAATGCTAAATAGAAACTCTTTAAATTAGTCAAAAGACTCTGCAATTATCTAAAAACACGTTCTAAACTATTGTTTTTCAAACCGAGAGTCTCTGGGTGTCTGGGAAGGGACAACAAGACCTGCATTTTAACAAGGCTCCCCACAAAGAAAATGAAACCCCTAAAACAACAACACAAAAGAAAGGAGTTCCCAAACACAGAGGTACCAACTCCAGGACTAACAGAGTGCAGTAAAAACCACACACGTTACGGGGTAATAGGAAGCAATCTGTAAGCTTCCAGCCAGTGCCTACAATCTGAAAAGGAGGTGGAGGGGAAATGGAAAAACAAATGTGTTCCCCACAGTAATAGGGATCAGGAAAATCTCAAATGCCAAGGCAAGGAAAGCTGACTGAATTGCATACCAACCACAAAAGGCACAAGCAAATCAGGAAACCCAGTACTCCCAAAAGGTAAGGAGATAAACTGTAAAGCAGTATGTGTATGTGTGTGGTTGGAGGTGGTCTTCAGCTCTGCACTCAGGGAGTCCTGCCATCAGAGCATCCAGATGCTCCTGATAATCACTTCACTTCACTCTCATACCTCTGGTGTCACCCAATATCAGGGGGCTCCATTTCCACTCTTGCCATGGAAGGGCCCATCTGGGGTAGTTTTCTGCCACAGGCTCTGCAGCAGCCTGAGCCTTCACCACTTGCAGTGTGAATTTTTTGCTAAGCTACGAGAACAATACCTTCCAGAGCACTTCAAAACTCCAAGCCTGTGCTAAGAGTAAGAACTAGCATCTCAGATGCAGGATTTCCCAAACTGAGCACATTTGGGCCAGTGGACAGAAGTAAAATTGTTTCATGACAATGCCCAACTCTGTGACCTCCCAATTCTCAGGCTTGGCTATGGGCATAAAAATATATTTAATGACACTATTAAGAATGGAAAAAGCCCCAGATGCTGTAGCTCCGTAGATTGAGTGCTGGGCTGCGAAGCAAAGGGTTGCAGGTTCGATTCCCAGTCAGGGCGTATGTCTGGGTTACAGGCCAGGTCCCCAGTAGGGGGTGCATGAGAGGCAACCACACATTGATGTTTCTCTCCCTTTCTCCTTCCCTCTCTTTAAAAGTAAATAAAATCTTTAAAAAAATGGAAACATGTGTAATGTCCTGTTCTCCAGGCTAACCAGCTATGACACATCATGTGACTTACTAGTTCTATAAAGGATTACAAGCAGCCCAGAAGGACTTCAACTACCTAGATGGAAAAAACAGTACAGATTACAGCAAGAGGGACTCACACTCTGCCTCTGAGAGTGTGAGTAATAGCTCAGTTGGAAGTTTAAAAATGTGTATTTGTCTGCCACACTGAGAAACTTAGAAGAAAAAAAGCTTGCTCCACTCTTGATCTTTTATGAACCTACATAGAAAGCCATTTTCTCCTATACTCAAGAGATGAAAAACAGGAGATGGAATCTGCCCTGGCAGGGCAGCTCCACTGGTTAGGTCGTTGCCCCAGTATGCCAAAGCTGTAGGCTCAATGCCTGGTCAGGGCACACACAGGAAACAACCAATGGATGCATGAGTGGGTGGAACAACAAATTGATGTTTTTCTTTCTGAAGAAAATAAATAAATAAGTAAATAAGTGGAATCATCTAGAAAAATAATTAATTCTTCAGAGATTAAAGTTCAGAAGTAATCAAAGTTGATGATTTATTGTCAAATTAAGACCCACCCCAGGATCCAATTTTATATGTGTATGAAATTTCACATACATATAAAATTGGAGAAACAAACAAAAATTACGTAAAACCAAAACACTGTTAGACACACTTCAGGATTCTTAATGGATTTTTCCAGTTTTACCCACAACACCTCAAGGATAGGTGAGAACACTGACATTTGCCACTGTACTAATCAGAAACCAGTGACAAAGCCATCTTCCTGGGGTCCTTAAAAACGGATGGCCATGCTGACAAGAGCTGACTCTACAGAACTCCCCATTTTAGTCCTCCTGCTGCTTTGGGGTCTCTTCACCAATGCTGACTCTTCACCACCCACACCCTCACAAGTCTGTGTGATAACAAGAAGGAATGGAGGGAGCTGAAGCTAATGCCTGACACGGAGGATTACCGTCTCCTGCTTACTGCCATCATTTCCTAAAGTGGCTGGACTGACCAACCACTAACTAGGTGTGAACAACAAAGGCTACCAAAACGGCCTGGACATACTAGTGAGTAAACTAGCCACCAACCCATCTCAGTGTACAGTACATATCACTGAATACCTATAATAGTCTTTAATATCAGGGAAAAAAATCGAAATTCTGCACCAGAAGTTACAAGACTTAGTTTGCTGTCCCACACACTCGACTACTAACCACAGGAGGACACTGTCCCCATGTGAAAAGGGGCCAGACTAGAGGTGTCATCGACCCTGACATGCTGAGATTTGAGGAGATACTCACTCTGCGGACAGAGGTGGGGGTTGGGAAGGGACTAGGGCTGCTGTGCTGATTTTCAGAAGCAGACCACCCCTCAGGTGAGCTGGTAGGAGAGGAAGAGCTCAGAGACGAATGGCTGAGGACAGAATCTTCTTCAGGACCAGAGTCCAGCATCTCACTCTCAGAGGGCATGCCCTGGTCCAGAGGGGTCGATGGAGACTCAGCTGCAGGTTTCATACCCAGGATATCCTGCAAGACCACCACGGGCACCTTCCTTTTGAACAAGATGTCCCCGGCTTCACTCCAACCGTCCTGGTCCTGCTCTGAGCATATTCTCAGACCATCTGTCAATGTGGGGCAGCTTTGAGGTGCTTTCTGCCTGTCTCTGCTCCTCTCTGTGTCCCCTAGGCCAGCACCCTCCTCCTCTGTTTTGTATGGAATGGCTAAAAGAGTCTCCTCAGGAAATGCCAGCTCATCCTTCTGACTAACCTTCGGCAGCAGCCCCTCACCTTCGGCTTCTCTGACCCCATTTACAGCCTCCTTCAAGGAGGGATAGGCTGCAGAATTCAGTTTACTGTAGGTCACAATGTCCTTTGGTTGGTCACTGGAGTCTTCTGTCAAATCGATGACTGTGGTCTTGCCAATATTTGTTTCGACTCTACTTCCTAAAAAGTTATCTAAGGGACCCTTCTCATTGACAAGTTTTGGACTAAAATCTATGTCAGAACCCATATGAAAATCGTTCTCCAAGTTGTCCAAAGAGGCTTCTACATCAGAGACTTGACTTTGTGCAGGAGCACTTGGAGAGCTTCTTCTGTTGTCTGACCCGTCCTTGGTTTTCTCCTTTGGGGCAAGATTCAGGCGCTTGAAGGGCAGACGAGCTGAAACGAAGAGAGGAGGCTGTCTTTACAGTGTAAGTGTGAAGACTGACAATCGATCGATACTTTAACATTCCACAGGCTACAAAATGATCAAACTTTGCCCTTGCCAGTGGCTCAGTTGATTGGAGTGTCCTCATGATAGGTTGTGGGTTTGATTCCCAGTAAGGGCACATACCTGGGTTTCGGGTTCAATCCCTGGTCAGAGCGCAAATGGGAGGCAACCCAATCAATGCTTCTCTCACACCAATGTTTCTCTTCCTCCCTCCCTCCCTCTATAAAAATCAATAAACATATGCTCAGGTGAGGGTTTAAAAAAAAAAAAATAATAATAATAAATAAAAAAGATCAACCTTAGTGGGCTTGGTGGCGGGCATTTTCATTTTATAAAGCAATCATGCCCTTGGATCCTATGGTTTGGCCCTAATTGTTTAACCTCAGAAGACTGTTGCCCTTAATACAACTCTTACCACCACCAAACCTGCTATCAGTCGTCACGAGAGAAGGCAAACTGCTACAGGGGAGAACTAGAAACCAAGCTTTAAAAGCCAGAAACCATGTTTTTTAATACAATCCAGCCACTAATCTGGCCTCATTGTAAATGTACTCCCTTTTTTACACAAAAGGTCTTGGGACATTTATTTTCCTATACAACAACGCGGTTCAACTGGGGCAGCTGGGCCCGCCAAAGAACATCTAGCAACGTCTGGAGACATTATTGGTTGTCAGAGCTGGAGGGAAGAGACCAGAGATGCTGCCAAAATCTCTACAATATATAAGACAGACCCTCACCACCGAAAAATTACACAACATCAATAGTGCTGAAGTAGAGAAAGGCTGCTGTAAAGGCAGTGACTTCTGGATTTGCTCCTAGGAAGCCAGGGAAACGGTAGTGTAATAAAATGAGTGCCCAGGCTTCCAAATGTAAAGTGCAATTGTTCTTCTTCCTTCCTATCCCCTTGATACTGCTGCTAAAGACTTCAACAGATGACCTCTGCTCCAGGGAAATTAAAAATACAATTGAGATAACAATGAAAGATATAAATTAGGAACAAATATTTAACCCATTCCCAGAAAGTTACCTTGTATTAACTTCTTTACTGGAAAAGCCGGTCTGTCTTTGCAATCCATTGCTATGAATAAAAACGTCAAAGGATAAGTTCTTAAATGCTGGAAATAATGAAGCAGCAAATGCATAAGTAGCACCCATTATGTACCAAGTGGTTATCCAGTTCGAGTGACTGCCAACCTCACCCCAGGAAGTTGGCAATGTCTGGGGACACTTTTGGTTGTCATGCCTTGGGGGAAGGGTGCTACACACATCTAGCAGGTAGAAGACAGGGATATTGCTAACATCCTACAATGCACAGGACAGCCCACCATAACTAAGAGTTAGTTATCTGGCACAAAATGTTAATAGGTTAAGAAATCCTGCCCCGAACACTGTCACACCTTCTTGGTTTATTTTCCTTGTGGCATTTATTGCTCTGAAACTTATGTTGTTTATTATGTCTCCCCCTGTACAGAATGGCAGCTCTGTGACGGCAGGGACACTTCTTCTATACTGTGCCTGGAGCACCTAACTCAGGGTCTGGCACACAGGGGGAAATCAATGAATACAGTAACAGCAACAATGAAGCAGGGAGTAAGTAAAACTGGTGATGAAAGAAAACACTGTATCACTGACATCACCATTAATAGGGCCTCAAAACATCCACCTTCAATTCAACCAGCTCTACAAAGTTAGAATAGTGTTTATTTTCCTTTTAAATAAGAGTTTATGAAGGTAATACAACTTAAGCATTTTGAACTTGCCAGGCAGGAAAAACTGAAGCGTTGTCAAAAAAAATAAGGAAAAATGTTTTCCTGCACCAAAAAAACTTAAGTATCTAATAATATCAAAGCTGATGCAGAAATGGCCATAAATATCTTTAAGCTCATACCTGCCAGAAGAGGTGGCTTGGAAAAATATAGTTGATTTTTGGCAATCTACTTATGCTTTATAAAAGATATGTACAAGTGAATATTTTTAAAAAGTAGACCTGGTTTTCTGAAAAAACTCAGCTGTCCATAGGTGAGGCTGCCTTCCCCTCTTCCAAGCTTGAAATCTAAGGAACCCAAAAAGCTCATACTTCCTTTTTACCCCTTTCAATACAGTATCATTCTCAAGTTTTCAGTTACCAAAAAACATGGATCCCACCCCCCCCAACTGAAGGATACACAATCCTTAGCCACTTAAACTTACTTTTAGGATCATCACAAGGATTTGTTGGTGTGGTCCTGAGCCACCAGCTTTGATGCAAGCAGTACATAAGTGACCTGAGCCCAGAAGCTACCTCAGACCAACCGAAAAACAGTCCATCCAGGGATATGGACTGTTCAAAAGCACACACACACAATTAACGCACACTTGCATACAAACTGACCATAGTTCTCTATTCTGATATCACATCCCTCCTAACTTCATTTAGTGGTAAACTATACTTTCCTTTTACAATAGTATGGTCATAGCAGGTATGCTTTTTTTACTTTTAAATAAACATCCCCACTGGGTCAAATGACTGTCCATGACAATCAGTCCACCTAACTTTATTTGAATTTTACTTTGTAAAATCCCCAAATCTGAAAACAATTACCGCAGTGATTCTGCCATTCCCCCCGCCCCCATGCCCCTGGCAATGTCTGGACACATCTGGTGTCACAACTGGGGAGAAGAGGTTTCTACTGGCATCTAATGGGTGGAGACTGGGGATACTGCTTGACACCCTCAAGTGCACAACAGGGCCCCGAATGTCATTAGTGCTGCGGTTGAGAAACCCTCAATTAGTCTAGTTAATGTCCCTGCCAATCTTTAATTCAGTCAACACATACCTAGTGAGCATCTACTATGAACCAGCATGGTGCCAAGAGCTAGGGATAAAATGGAAGTCAAGCAGGAAAGAGCGCAGTCTAGTTTTCCTTGGTTCACCCTATGTTTCTGAGGCCTCCTAGGTGCTGGAAACCCCATCCCAAGACATAGGGAAGAGAAAGGTTTTCACCTTGTATATTGGACAGGATCAGAAATCCGGGAGTCTCAGCTTCCTGACAATACCTACCACCCAGACCTCTTACCTGGGCTTGCTCGGACCCACAGAAGCAGCCGCTCTGGTCCCGGAGCCCATGTGACCCCGGGCCTCAGTTTCCCCACCCAGCCAGAGGGTCTCTGCAGGTTCCAACTTGCTCTGAGAACACAAATGCAACCTCCAGAGCTGGCCCTTTCGCCTCCCTGGATCTCGGTTTTCCCTCCCGGCCACACAGACCCCTCACTGCAGAGAGCCCTTAACAAGAACGAACTTAACTCAAAAGCACGGGGCCGGGGGGGGGGGGCGGGGAGGAATGGTCCCGGTCGCAACAATAACGATAACGTCAAGGAGGAAGCCTTTCGGATCGCAATGCCCTTTCTCGGAATTGTAACGACCTCACGAACTAAACACCAGGCACAGAGGATCGGCCGGAGCTGGGACGTCCTTCTGCCCCCAACCACTGCCTCGGCCCACACAGGCCGCTCGCCGCGCCCCCACTGCCTCTCCGCGCGGGACCGAACCGACCTGTGGCCGCTCCCCTGGCGCCCGGCGCCCCGCACTCCGGCTCCTCCAGCATCGTTCCGGCAGCGGCTCAAGGTCCTCTCAGGCGGCGGAGGCGCGGGCTCCGGTCCGGCAGCCGCCGCTGCTCGCCCTCCCGCCCGCGCCGCTGCTGCCGCGGCCGCCGCGCTCGTATTTGGCGGGAACCGCGGCGACCCCTGCAGCCCGCGTACGGATTGGACGAGGCTGCATCACGTGACGTCCCGCCCAGGGAAATAGGCACCAAAAGGAGCATCCTCGCGAGATCCGTGGCTTCCATTCCTCCCCATAGCTGCCCTATTGATATTCCCGCAGAGGAGCGGGCTTTCCCTTAGCGGCCTGATGGGAAGAAGGTGTTCTGCGATTGGGGACGGGAGATGTCAGGCCAAGAAATCGCCACTGTGATTGGCTAAGTGTGTGAGATATGATAGGTCTGTAGGAGAGAGGACGAGGTTTTCACGTCTAGACGAAACTTTTTACGTAGGGCACTGGTGACAATCTGAAACTGCGATTTAGATGAAGACTGAAGTTTTTAATTTATCCTAATTGGACATCGGCTGAATATAGCAACAGCAACAAGATTATAAATTACTTTTCATATGAACAAATAATAAAATCTGGGCAGCGCTTTAAAGAATTTGATATGCTGTAAATATATTCAGAGGAAACAAATGAAATACATGTTTCTGATTTAATCATGAGGATTTTTGCACACGCTGTTTCCTCGCCTAGAAAACACTTTCCCCAACTCTTTTCCTGGCTAATTTCTACCTAACTTTCAGATCTTAGATTGACAAGTTTTCTTCCTTACCCCAAACAAATGCCTACAACTTTCTTTCTTCTCTTTCTTTTCTTTCTCTTTCTTTCTTTACTTTCCTTCCTTCCCTCCCTTTCCTTTCTTTCTTTTCTCTCTTTCTTTCCTTCTTTTTTTTTTGTAAGCAGTCATAGGTTATGTTTGTTTGCATGTTATTTGATTAATGAATTAATTTGTTTTTGTCATTACCTCCATGAGGACATGAATCATTTACCACTGTATTCCCCAGGACCTATCAACGACTGATACATTAGTAGGTACTCAATGAGTGTTTGCGTGGATACATAAATATTTAAGTGGACTGTGTAATCATGTGGGTTAATGGTCTCACAGAACAGAGACCTTCAGTGTCAACCTGCAAGTCTTACAAATAAGTTTTCTTCACCACAAATTTAATCTCAGGCAGAGCACAAGTGAGAAGATTTAAGAGTGAACCCAAATCAGTAGAATTGGTTGGAAACAGTATGGGGACACTGAGAATTTGGGGACGTCCGCTTGGGCTAGTCGTGTCTTACTCATGGCCTCAGTTTCCACATATGAACCATAAGAAATGTTTCCTTCTCTTTGATATTCTGGCACTATGCAATGATTTAGACCAATGATTTGGATCACTGTTGAGGGTGCCCATCATAATCACATGAGTGTTTTTCCAAATCATTCATAATAGCTCTTTCAGGATCTTTGGGAGGGAAGTTGGGACATACGTATTCTGAAACAAGCCTCTGATCTAGTCCAGTACATTCTGTAAGGCATTTGGAAACTTCAAGTAACCTCCTGCTTCAGAAAATCACCAGTCTGTCAGATATTAGCACTGAAGTTGCAAGCCGGTTAACTATAGTCACTTTCTTGTTCCTCTTTTTGGATTCATTTACTCATTCTGACTCATTATTAATTTCCAACACATTCAATACATTTTCATGGATAAGAATTGATTTTAAAATCAATCTTTACTATCAATAAATATGTATCAGTTGAGGAATGCTTTTTGGAAGAGGTGGTATTCCAAGTAGATTCCTTTGCTAAGCACGAACAATGGAGGAAAAGATTAGGGAAGAATGTGGATGAGAGGGAAAACATTAGCAAAGGCCCATAGGCAGCAGGGACTATAGAATAGGAAGAGAGCCGCCGAAATCAGAGGATTGAGGGGGCCAAATTATGCAAGTTTTGTAGGCCATATTGGGAAGTCGGGAATGTATTTTGAGGGCAGTAGGTGGACTGTAAACGGGGAACTTTGATAAGAATCGTGTTACAGAAGCATCTTTCTGGCTTCCTGATGGGAGATAAATTGGAGAGAAGAACCCGAATGGGAACATATCAAAGAGGAAGCTGGTGGAATCAAAGGTTTGGTTAGGGCAGAGGACAGTGGGGATAGTGGAAAGGAGGTAGAAGCGGCACCCCGATGCCTGACTTGGGCAACTGAATGAATAAACACAGGGCACGGCTCGGAGTGGGATGGGAGGGACTAAACGCGAGGTAGAAATCGGTGTAGCTGAGACCCAGTCTCCAACCTCTCCAGAAACGTTTAAGCGTCTTTCCTAAAATGTTAGAGCCACCTCCACTACTGCAGGGGTCGCTGCAGCCGCTGTGGCCGCTCTAGACTCTCCCGGCCACTGGCTAGCAGAAGCGGCCTCCCGGCACCGCAGCACTAGAAATGCGCTTGCGCTCTGCGGCCGGCAGGGCGCGCGCGCGCGTGCTCAGATGGCCGGCGCCGGAAGTGTGCGGTTGCCATGTAATATCCTGGCCGCGCGGGCGCAAGACGGGCTGAGGCTGCGCCCGGACGGGCGCGGAGCTGGCGAGAGGGCTGCGGAGGCGGCGCCGACAGGGCCAGTTGAGGCGCGCGGGGGCTCGGCAGCGCCTGGGATCCTGTCGCTTGCGCTGTACCTCCGGTTCGCTGGGTCCGGACGGGAGGTCCCACAGCGAAAGGCAGAATGTCGGTGGCGGGGCTGAAGAAACAGTTCTACAAGGCGAGCCAGGTGAGCAGAAGGCGAGCCCCCTCTGATCGGGGCTTCCCGGAGTGAGGAGCCAGGTTAGGCCAAGCTCTGGTTCGAGAGGGTGGCCGTGGGTACCGAGGGGGAGATGTTGGCACGCGGTCTTCACAGGGTGGGGAGAGCCCAAGAAGGCCGGGGGGCTTCCTGCGAGGTGTCCCAGGCCCTGCCCACCATGTGGGCTCCAGTCTCCTCGAGAAGGATGGATAGACCCTTGGGTGGGTCAGAGAGACCCCCAGAGGTTGATCTGGGCTGTGGATCCCCGCCCCTTCCTCCTCTCTAAAAGGTCTGGAAAGGCGGAAAGACTAGGGGAGGAAACAGGATTCTTGCCAGATGGCCCAGGGGGAGGAAAAATAACAACAAAGACTCTTTGGATGGACACGATACAAAGTTGGAAAGGTAGAGTGAAAAGTCAGTTTCTCACCAGTGCCTCAGGCATTCAGACCATCTCCCCAGAGACAAGAACTGTCACTGACGACTGTCTCTCTTTTCAAAGATACGTGCATGTCTTTCATTTAAAAGCACACACAAGCAATGTAGCATAGTCTACGTAATCCTGTGTACTTTTTGGTTAAATCTGTCGGAATTCTCCACCTCGGGTTACACACTGTTGGGAGGGAGTGTTCTGGGCACTGTGGGGTGTTGAGCAACACTTCTGGCTTCCACTCCCTCAATGCTAGGAGCACCCCCAGTCGTGACAACCACAAATGTCGCCAGGTGCTGCCAGATGTCCCTGGTGAAACCTCCTCTTCCCCCCTCCACCAGAATTACTGCACTACAATATACCCACTGAGTTTCTTGGATCTTTTTAATAGGTTCTTGGTATTAATTTCTTGAAGTGTACCAAAATTAATTTCCAGTCCTCTGTTGATGGATGTTTAGATTATTTCCAGTAGTTTTCTGCTACAGTGAATATCTTTGCTCACAGTGGGTATTGGATTTGTAGGATAAATTCCCAGAAGTGGAATGCTGAATCAAAAATATATGTGTTTTATGTGAGACAGATTGTATAGGTGTTTTTAAAAGTCTGGGGCAAGAAGCCCAAGAGTCCTTGATTCCTATTGGTCCCCGTATCCCAGGTTACGAATCTTAGGTGTGGAGTTGTGTGGGTAGACTCCATGGAGGAATGGGCAATAATCTTAGGAATTGTTGGGGCCATGCTGGCAAACTGGGCTGTACTCCTGATTTGAAGATGTCCATTGGGAGGGAAGGGAGATGAGTCTCCAGTAACATACAGCTGATATCTTTTATCCCATAAATGGAAAAGGCACAACCCTAGTGGTTGTTTAGGGCTAAAGGCATTTGGGGTTGTCTGTAGACCTCACATGATGGCTGAACCCTAGAGGAAGAGAGACAATCTGGAGGGATTCTAGGATTGTTGCTGAGAGTGCAGCCTTTTGCCCTAACAGGATGGAAATACATGACCTGGCCCTAGGCTAGACCCTGCTCAGGCTGGCATCGGACCTCCATGTGCTTGGCTGGAGCGCCTGGGAAAGCTGCTCACTGTCTGGGGCCCTGAGGTGTCCCTCCTGCAGGACTGATGTGTCCACAGGTCTTGGAAGGATTCCAGAACTACTTTGTACTCTCACGTTGACGGGTCTCTCTGGAAGCCCTCTCTTCCCCATCCCCAGCTGCCAGGGCCCATGCTGGTGGTACATTCCATCCCGAACTGCCTGGGCCTCTCAGGCCAGCCACCAGAGCCTTTTCTCTCAGAGGGAAACAGGACGACCTGCATTCAGACCTGTGTGAGAAGCACTTTGAAACCTGGAAACCAATTTATTATCTGAGGTCCAGTCCCAAAGAATTGCTGCAGTGGCCATATCCTAATCTGAGAGTAGTCATTTTGGCAACCTGGTCAGTTCCACATTGAGTTGTGTTCTCAAGAGTCACCCTGGCTGTGTCCCCTTCTTTTCCTCAGTAGTTTCCACAGCCCTCCAGCATTTCCGTTGTTCATCTGGCCGTGTCCATCTCTCTGTGTGTTTCTTTTTCTTGCTCTTAGGAACACCCCTTTTCATTCTCTTCTATGACCTCAGAATAGGGTTGCTTCTTGAAGAGTAACATCTTTTGTTAGTGTAGTAATATTTATTGAATTATCAGTGTGAATACACAATATGCTTTAAACCAAGTAATCTCAACTGGCCTCATTCATCTGGCCTAAGGGTAAATGTATCCACCTTTTCAGACAAAAAGGTTTGAGGACATTTATCTTCCTGTAGAACAGTGCTTTTTACCCAGGGTCACTTCTGCCCTTCAGGGGACATCAGGAAACATTTTAATTGTCACAACTTGGATTGCTAATGGTATCTAGTGGGCGGAGGCCAGAGATGCTGCTCAACACCCTGTAATGCTCTGGGCAGCCCCCAGGACCAAGAGTCCCCTGGTCCCAGATGTCCTGCAGTGGTAGCAAGTTAAGAAGCTCTGCTTGAAGTTCAAGAAAAGTAAGGACAATTGTACCAGAAAAATCCCAT